CAACTTCCAACTCCTGCAGCTCCCCATCCGCCAAAACCAGTTCGTCAGTCCCTAGGGAAGGTCGGGGCGCTGCCACGGGCGTGACACCCGCCACCTCAGCCGCGGAAACATCCACCGACTGCCAAAGCCCGGGGCCTGGCGCGGGGGGATCCCGCTGCCCGGGGGTTCGCGGGACCGCGGTCCGGGATTCCCCGCTCCGAGCCCAGACCCCGCACAGCCCCGCCCGCCGCTCACCCAGAAGAAGGTGGAGTAGGTGATGAGGGTGAGCTTGAGGCAGAGGTAGGAGAGCCGCCCGCAGTACCGCGCCTGCTCCGGGTCCCCCGCCGCCATCCTCCCTCCCGCCCCGCGGCACCTGCCGCCGCTCCCGCCGCTCCCGCCCCTTCCCGGCTGGAGCGGGGCGGGCCCGGGGGCGCCGCCGCTTCCGGAGCGGGACCGGCGGGGACACACGGGCAGCGCCGGGGAGGGAGCGGGGATCTCCGGCTGCTGCTTTCTTCTTCTTTTTTTTTTTTCGCTTTTTTTTCTTCTCCATTCCCCCGGCAAACACGCCTGGCCGCTCGGCCGGGGTTAACCCCGCAGCTGGAGACGGCAGGAAAAGCAGATCCGGCTGCTCCAGCGCTGCCAGAGCCACGCGCGCACCCCCAAAACCTCCGCGGTCGCCACTGAAACAGCCCGGACAAAAACACTTCGGTGGGAAGCTCCTGCTGCCCGTGGGTGCCGGGATTTTGGGTCGAGCATCCGTAAACACTGCAAAGCAGGCTCCCTGGGCGCTACGCCGGCACGGTGGAGCGATACCAGGGCATTTACCTTTCGTTGTAAAACTCGCGGTTGTCCAGCACGTCCTGCAAATAACAACAGTTAATGGGCGTATTGCACTGGCCACGTTTTCTGCCTGCACCGAGGTTTATCCACGTCCCGCTGCTGTGACAGTGGGACAGCGCTGGGTCTGACGCAGCGATCATGAACTGCAAACGCCATTCATGCCTCCGAGATGAAATAAGCCTTTTCAAGCCCGCAGCGCTGCACTCCTGTCCCACAAAGGGCTATTTTTCCCCCGGGGAAAAAAGTCTCATTCAAAGTGGCAGACAACTGTCACAGAGTTGGTTGTTGCATCCTGGCCCGGAGCAGAGACAGATGGCGTTGAAAATCAGCGTCTGGTGTCAGAGGAGATGAAGTGAGGCAGCATTTGTCCTTAAGTTACCTAGGAAAGCGACTGGAAAACCTCCGAGCTGTGTACGTAAAACTGTGTAAGCAGTCAGTCACACATCATTTCGTTAGGTCATACAATATACCAAAACCTTGTTTATAAAGGCTAAAAAGTATCCCTGGAAAATTCTATTATAAAAAGCACCATTGCTTTTCCATGCAGTGCTACATTCTGCTTCTGGAAAACAAATAATCCAGCCCAGGACCCAACCGGTAGCTCTTCACCTGTAACGTTTCTGACGATAATTCAATGCCCCAGAGCATTCATCCTCTAAAATATCACAACTTCAATCTTCAGACAGATTTGCAAATATCCCTGACACTTACAGCGGTGTGCAGGCTGGAAATCACATCACATACCGTGTAGGTGCTGGGAATTAGAGTCTGCCACAGGTTCTTCATGTCTCATGAGTGTCATTCACATCCCAACATGTTCCTGTCACTTAGACATCTTCCTTGTTTGAGTATTTAATTAAATTAATAGTTTTGGTGTGACTTTCTTAATGCCTTGCCTGTTCATTTGTGCTGATTTCTGCAAATAAAATTTCAGGGCACGTCCAGCTGGATGGGGAAGCTGATTAAAAGGAGTGTCCGTTTTCCTGTTGTTTTCACTCTGAACAGAGCCAATGCATCAAAACAGGTTCCTGTTATGAAACTGTACGAAAATAATTGACTAATCCCTTTCTTTGCTGAATCCCAGACCTCGTCTGTATATTGAAATGACAAGATTTCTGGACACAATTAGTACAGTTCAGCAGCAAACAGTGGTTAAAAGTAAGATGTTATGAACTGCCTGTGGTGCTGAGGGTCCTTCTTGGTTGCATTCTCTCCCCCTCAGCCCAAGGCAGCACAGAACTGCAGTTTTCCAACGAGGAGTCTGGCATCTCTGCCAGCATCGAGGCAGATCCTGCATTACAGCGTCTGCTCCCGGGGCCATCCAATAGCTCAGCTAGTGGTGGTTTTGTTCATGTTACGGATCAGTATCTTCCACATGTCCTCACTCATCTCCAGGGCTACCAGGGTTGTCCTAGGGACAGTCATAAAAAGCCATAGACTGCAGAACATTTGACTCAGGGAATTAGGAGCACTGCAGAAGAGGAAGTGAACCCACACTTAGCCCTGCATGAAAGTGTGTCAGAAAGACCCAAAGCTTTTCAGAGCTACCAAGAGGCATTTTTCTGCTTCCTTCCAGCCCATGCCTGGCTGATAAAGCTGCAGGCCAGCTGCACTTTCCCCCACCCAAAGTGGATGCTCATGGTCCTGCTCTCAGACCTGTTCCCTGGACAAAGGTTCTTCCTCCCAAAACAGAGTTCAACTTGCAATACAATTAAAGCCTCTACTGCCTGTATTACCTTGTATTATGTTTCCAAAACACAAAACATCCCTCAATCACCCTTCCTGACCTTGCAGACCTGCATCTTTTCTTTGCACCTCTCACCCTTTGCTCAGACCTGGGATCAGTGACTCAGCACAGGAACGTTCGGCCTTGAACAATCCTGCCCATAATAAAAACAACTGTGAAAACAGCCAAACCCAAAAACCTTTCTCCCAGATAGTTTCCTTCTCTGGTACAACTCCAAAATCATTGGAGTTACAGGTTTTACCCACAGTCCCAGGCACATGCAACTTCCCTGAGGAATTTGGAGCCCACCTCTATCAAAAATCACTCCAGTTTTCAAGTCAAAAGGCCAATAGTACACACTAAGTCACTGGCAGGGCTCCAGGATGATAACCTTGTCAATGCACAACCAGCAAAGGAATAAAAGGTGTGGGTGTGGATAAAGGAAAGCAAATCCCTGAAGACCTGTACAATGAAATACTGACCAAAGGGTGACTGCTCTCCGATTATCACCTGAGTAACAGATCAGGAAGCAGGGCAGATAGTTCAGAAGAAGGTTCCTAGGAAACCTGGGCACTCTGACTGTCTTCAAAGTCAGCCGAGAAAGGTTATGGTTTCACCATTGAAAGGTCAATAAGTACAGCCCTTTTTCCAAGTGCTTGCTTATGTTTTGCTTTCCTTGACTGATAAAGCACTTAAGCTGTGCTCCCAGCTAAACATATGGAGGGTTTTGCTCAGATTCTCCTTTGAATTTGCAGAGATTTGAGAGATGAAGAAAAAAAAATAATCTGAAGAACACTATTAGCTGTTGAATTCATGCTGCAAATCAGGAAGAGCCCTCCTGGACTGTGTACAGAAAGTGAAAGGTCCATAAGCTGCTTAATGAGGTGTCAGCGGAAGACTCTGAAGAAGAGCCTGGAACAGCCTTGCAATGCATGCTGGAAGATATGGACAAGTGTGGTTTTGTAGTTTCTGGGTGGGGAAGTGAGTGGAATTGCCTGCAGGGAAGTGAGTGGGATTGCCTGCAAGGAAGTCTATTGTGAAGAGAAGGAGATATTATATGTAGTACTACAGGTATTGGTTTCTTAAAAAAACAACATTTGGGCAATACCATATCTGCTTTAAAGAGTTGCAGGTATTAGGTGATGGGTAATCTCAAGGTTGCCTCCAGAAATTAATGAAGGAAGGAAAGAGTCCAGGCTGAGCTGGTTGAGAGGATCCTGAATGGATAAATACTGCCCTGTTACAGGAGAGGCTGGCACAAGCTGCAGCTCCAGGAGCTCGAAAACTACTGCTCTTCCAGCACCCTGCATGCTTCCTGAATCCTGAAAGCAGGTTTTCATACCTGAAGCACTTTCAGCTTCCAGGAGAGCAGGCACGAGCCAGTGCCAAGTACTCTTGGAATTCTCAACCTCAGTGTGTTGCTTATGTTTCTGCTCTGAACTTTAGAGCTGGCAGCGAGCAAGAGTGTGTGCTCCGAGCAGAGTCAGGGGTTCCTCTTCCCTGTGAGGACCTGAAACTTCTGCTTGTGTGAGGGCACTACATTTCTAGAGCATACCCTGGGAAAGGAGATGCAGCCATCCAAAGAGAAGGACCTTGCTAAATCGCATTAAATGTAGCTTCTCTCTTGCTGTGAGAGCTCGTGGGAAAACAAGGGAGGGTCCTGGAAACTCAAGGATTGCAGGACTGGTAAACCTGGCAAAGTCACTACCCTTGCACTTACGCCTGTAAAATCCTGATACAGCAGCGTGACCATTTCAGAGGTTATTCAAAACTGGGCGGGGGGGTAAAACTTCAAGTACCACTTTGCCACATTTCATTTGATGTCAAATTGGTTGTTTAGTTTTTCCCCAGAAGAGACTCCACCTCCTTTCAAAGTCCCCTTAAAACCTGTAGAAATTTTATCCCAGCGCGACTCCTGCCTCGCGTTTAGTAGTTACGCAGGGAAAGAAAAGCAAATGTCCTCAGTCCCGCTGCAGAGGATTCAGACACCTGGTTCTTTGGAAAATCCCTGCCCTGGAAAAGGATTTCCACTTGGATTGAAGTGTTTTATGGCTTGATACTTCTACTTGTATTTTCTTGACCCTAAAAGTAATCTAAAGGAAGACACCGCTTGTCACCGACCTGGAAAAGACCTTCCTTCCCTCCATCTTTTTTCTTCCTTTTTAGAGGAAAAATAAACTTAAGGGAGAGAGTTGTTTGTTAGGTTTTACTCGTCAAGTGGAGGTTAAAATGCCAGGGAAGAAGGAGGACGCCCTTGGCATCGCTCATCTCCTCCTGGAACTGCATTGCATCACTTGGAAAACAGGATGAGAGGATGAGACACCTCAGCCTGATGTCTTCTTAACAGCCCTTAGTTACATGCATGGAAATTCATACCACCAGCATCTACTGCAAGAAAATGAGCAGATGCCAGAAGATTTTCCTTTACACTTAGACAAAGAAGAAAACCACGGGCATGTTGTCTGTTTTTAATGCCAGCAACGTTTCACAGGCTGACTCCCTCGAGGACAGTGGCAACTGGACGTGGGTGACCCAGTTCACTCAGCCAGGGTGGAGAATTGCTTTGTGGGCTATCACCTATTCCTTCATCGTTATCACATCCATCGTTGGCAACGTCACCATTATCTGGATTATCCTTGCACACAGGAGAATGAGGACCACTACCAACTACTTCATCGTGAATCTGGCTCTTTCGGATCTGCTGATGTCTGCTTTCAACACCATCTTCAATTTTATTTATGCCAGTCACAACGTCTGGTATTTTGGCGAGGAATTCTGCAGGTTTCAGAACTGGTTCCCCATCACTGCAATGTTTGTGAGCATTTACTCCATGACAGCCGTGGCTGCAGAGAGGTAAGAGGAGAATGGAGAAGATAAGGTCCAAAAAATCTCCTGTATGTCATAAAAAATCACTGCAATGTTTTGTGCAATTGGCCCCCACGTACCGTGTCAGATGCCTTATCAGCAAAGTGGGACAAGTGCCAAACTATGGGGTTTGATGCTAATTATGATGTGATCTTCTGTTTTATCCCTGGCCTGAATCACACACAAATCTGTAACAAGTGGAAGTGGCTGGAATTCTGTTGTTCCCACATTATTGACCATAAATTGTTTCCCAGCCATCCTGCAAAATCTTCTGTGGGTTTGGGGTGGGGTTTTTTTGTTGTCTGTTTTTTTAAACCATCAGAAGGATATTTCCAGAGAAATGAGGATACGCTGTGGGATGCCGAAAGTATTAGCATCCTCAGTCCTGCTGTGAGCCCAGCAAAACACCAGAAATAATGGGAATTAGATCAGAAATGGCAGAGTCTGCTCCCATAGTTCACTAGAATGACTTATTCCAAGAGGGAGGGAAGTAATAACAGTGATTTTGTTTGACTTCTGGGGTAATTTGGTACTTCCATAATATTCTCTTCCATCTGCCAAGTCACTTTTACTTGAGCTTAAATTTGTGGAGTCTGACTGTGTTTACAGCTCATTGTTAAACAACATGGAGCTGTTTTTCTTCTAAATAGAAAGTGGCCAAAAGTTCGTGGGAATTTCCTCCCTTACAGGCAATGGTGTGTACAAGAAGTAGAGGAGGTTAAGCTCCCTTCTAGGCTTTCTACCCTCCTTCCTTCCATCCTTCCTGTCTTCCCTCCGTTACTTCCACTCTCTGCCTGGCGCCAGGAATATTTCTGTCTTTTCCATACTGTGTCCCTGCCACAACCCCACGGTGAAGGTCTTCCCTGGGACAGCCAAGAGAAACACCGGCAGTCCTTTATCAAGCCCTGCTGTTGACTTTGCAGTTTCCTTCAGGTTTCCTCTGTTCCTTATCAAGCAGGGCCCTTCCAGCTCCCTCGGGAGGGGAGCCAGTGTCCCTGTGGAGCCATCCAAGCAGCGCTGCTCTCTGAGTTACCGGGGTCGCTTCCCTAACTCCCGCCCTGCTCGCAGCTCGTTCACACCGGCACACCCAGCCTCGGGGAAAAAATCAATACACAAAAAATTTAGTAAACGAACTAGGAGAGGAATGAGGGCTTTCCCCTTTGGTTAATTCCTGCTGAAACCCGCGCCGGAGCTGGGGACACGGCACGGGACAGGACAGTGGCCCCTGCGGCCGCTGGAAGGAGCGCTCACGAGCACAGGGATAGGGATGAGTGACGTGTTTGTCAGTCTGCAGCTGTCCAGATGAAAGCAAATCCCTATTTGGAATCAATGGCAATTCGCTTTTAGACTCAAATACACTTTTGCTGCTCCTGGCTTTAAATCAAGGGTTGTTGGTAACTGCTGCTTTTTATACATGTTGTCTGCTAAAGGATATTATTTTTCAAAAGCCATTTCAACCTGTCCTCACGCCTCCCTGCTCTTGTTCCTTGGGGATATTTAGTGAAAGCACCTATACAGCCAAAATCTCTTTAGTGACGTGGCACAGACCAGAAAGAAAACTTGGCACCTCACTGCAAACCATATTTAGCTATTCTTTCCTTAGCCTTAAAATAGACCCTGACACTGTCTCCTGGAAACTCGCCACTTCCATTTATTGTTATGAGAACTTGCCCACTCAGGCTCCAGTGTTTAACTTCGATAAAACAATGTCTTTTGAAGCAGTTTATTGTAAGGAAGAAGGCTAAGAAGTGACAGCTCTAAGTCATCTTTGTCTCTGTGGAAAAGTCCCTGGTGATACTGCTCACCACTAGGTTTAGGATCGCTCTGTTTCCCCATTCCAAGCTGTTTAGGGTTTAGGATCATTGTTTCCCCGTCCTGGAGCAGGTCTTTCCACTGCAGTGCTCCAGGCACAAAAGTAGTCTATTGGTTTCCCACTCCAGTTAGCAAAGTCTCCTAGGATCTGTCTGGAAAGTGTGCAAGCATGCCCAAAATTGTGTTTTGTCTATATGGGATGAGGGCCAGAGAAAGGGTGCCACGACTGCGGTCCCAGCATCCTGGGATGTCACATGGAGCAGGGCACAGAGAGAGAGCACAGGGAGCAGGGGGGCAAAGGCAGTGCTGCCACACAGCAAAAGCAGCCAGGAGATCTCAGCAGGTTTGGTAAATCTCCCAACTTGCAGGACCTCGCCTAAAATCCCAGGTCACCTCAGAGGTGCACCCCTGGCTGAGTTTAAAGCCTCCACCCAGCAGCCCTGTAACACCTCTGATGTGGGCTATGACAGCACAGGGACTGGCATCATTTATTCCCAGGACTTGCCGTTCACCGAGAGCCACAGATCATCATTTCAGGCGCTTCTGTGGGCAAATACTCTGGAGAATATTCACCACTTCCTGACCAGAGCCTACAGCAAGCTAATGAAAAGCAAGGTGACATGAAAATTTTATAGCTAAATAAGGCTCTGCTGCCGTGTGGCCCTGGATCACTCCCTGTTCTGCAGAGCTCCCTCCCACTGGCCTGGCCAAGGGACAGCACAATTTGTTATGATTTTTGCTATGAAAACTAGGAGGCAATAGGCATTTGCCACTCTATTTTGCCTTTGTAACAACCATGACAAAGAACAGGGGAAGCATGACAAGAAATGCATAATTGATTATGTACTTGTTACGACACAGTGTGTTTCCACACAGGGAACTTAAAACCAGAGAGTGCCCTGGGCTCGTGAGTAATCCAAGAGTCAGAAGTGCTGTGAGGGCTCTGAGCAGGTGTGGGAAGGAGGGGTCAGCACTTCCCTTCCACTGCAAGCACAAATGCTGAGACTTTTACAGACAGAGGTGATAACACAAGTTTTCCACAGCTAAAAATCAGTGGGAAAAAATTCAGGGTAAAGGATACTCAAGACCCCTGTCTGCTCTTGTGATAATATGAGGCATCAGAGATCGGCATACTTAGGAGGAAACAGCATAACAGGCTGTGCTTTTTTTGGTAAAGAATTTGAAAAATTAATTAAAAAAAAAAAGAGAGAGAATACTTTTTACAAGGGCCTGGCATGACAGGACAAGGGGGAATGGTTTCACACTGACAGAGGGCAGGGTTACATTGGATATTAGGAAGACATTCTTCCCCTATGAGGGTGGTGAAGCCCTGGCACAGGTTGCCCAGAGAAGCTGTGGATGCCCCACCCCTGGAAGTGTTCAAGGCCAGGTTGGACAGCACTTGGAGCCCAGCTCAGGTGTCCCTGACCATGGCAGGGGGATTGGAACTAGGTAGTCATTAAGGTCCCTTCCAACCCAAACCATTCTGGGGTTCTATGAAAAATTCTGTAAGGGGAATATTTGCAAAGACCATATGCAGAAGATATAGATGACTGCTTCCTCCTCAGACCAGAAGCATCCATCCCCACGGGTTTAATATATCCTGCCCTAAGACTTGCAGTCATTCTCTTCAGAAAGGATTCAGTTCCATGATTTATGGCCGGGAACCTATCAAAATATCTCTATTAATAAAGCCCCCTATACAGTCCCGCTGAGTTTTTACAGTTGCTCTATGTGCTGTACAGATTACCAATGTAACTGTAAAAGCCTTACCTATGTTTCTTGCAGGTATGTGGCAATAATTCACCCCTTCAAGCCCAGGCTCTCTGCTGCAAGCACCAGAGTCATCATTGGGATAATCTGGCTGGTGGCATTTGGGTTGGCCTTCCCACAGTGCTTCTATGCCGAGATCCTGATGGACAACGGAACCACGAAATGCATCGTGGTCTGGCCTGACGACGCTGGATCCAAGCACCAGCTCACGTAAGAGAAACAATAAAACCCCCAGTTCAGGTAGAAGTTAACTAAGGAAATTAATTTCATCTTAAACTGTTGGTTATGGGGAGTGCTGGGAGAGAGGGCAGGGGAATAGAGGGCTGGGCAGCCAATCTATGCTCAGTTTAAGCCAACTGTGGAAAAAGCTCCTAGGTGATCGTGGTTCAGGATAAAGAAAGGCCGTGTGCCATCCTGCCCTGCTTTGAAAACTGGTCATAAGGTCTAGAAACTCTAAATACAGAGCTTGGTGGATTTACGAGAAAGGAGCATGAAAAGTCTCTAAACAAGCAATAAATGCTGTTTTGCAAAAATTTTGGATTTTCTTCCTCCCTGGGGTAGGAGGAAACTGGGTATCTTTAATGCTGATAAGCCATGTAATTAGTTAAAAATTATGCTGCTCTTTTTGGGGGGAACAGGAAAATAAAACCTGAGAGGAGCGTGCTTCAAACATCCTGAGGTTTTATAGCCTGATTTATCTGAGCACACATCTGCACCCCCAGAAGTTCCTAAGCCTCACAGAGATTTCCTCCTGCTTTTAAACAAGATTGTTCAAACAGATGAAACAACCCATACCCCACATGTAGGGGATCTGCTGTGATTACTCATTATTCAAAGCATGTGATACACAGAGCAGTTTGAGAAATTTATCAAGCAAAACATATTTATGCAAAGTACTAATGGAAGAACTGCGGAAAAGGAACAAATCGATTAATAAAGTGGAAACAATTTTTCAAACCAAAACCACATGCTAAACTCCCTGAGTTCACTCTGCACTCTGAATCCTTTTGCCCAGCTCCATGCACATTTTTTCTTGCTCGGTCTTAATCTCTGGCAGACAGCTGGATGCCTTCTAAGGTTAAGTTATTACCAAACAGGTTTTCACACTAATATGTGCCAAGTTCCAGGAGCTTCACATAATTTTGGCCAAGCTGCAGCATATTCAATCACCGATAGCCAGTTGTCCCCAGTCTCCAGAGTCACAGAAGAGCAAAGAGTAAAATCAGGCTCACATCATGTTGGGTGATGCTCCTCCTGGTTGGTACCCCTTGGCACATGGTGTGGAGCACAGTGTGCCAGGCTCCAGCCAACTGAGAAGGTGGGAGAGCAGATAATCACTAATAGATGAGTCACTGATGACTATTTCATTCAGATGAACAGTGTGAGGTTTATTTCTCCCACATCCGTGGTTTGGGAAGGATTGAAACAAGTTTCCCAGCATGCCAACGAAATCTCTGTGGGCTGGAAAGTCTGGTCCTGAACATGGCAAATAGCAGGGGCAGGTTCTTTCTGGGATCCCCAGCTGAAGAGCAGCAGTTCCTGACCACAACACATCATTCACTCACTCACTCTCCCTGAACAGCCTCATGTCTGCGGGTTTCAGCATCTCTCCTAGAAAGGAAGTTGGAAGCACTGCTCCCCAGAAATCATACTGAGGGATGGATTTGCTGGGACAGATGCCTGCAACACAGACCATGGAGAAAAAGCCATGTGCAGCCATTCATGTGCTAGTCCAAATAATGAGGGACAGAAATACTAAAAAACCCAAAGAAAACCCAAAAGAATGGAGAACTGGGTTCCACTGTTGACTGTGGGTCTTCCAAATCCTTTGCAATTGAGTAAAATCAGCCTTCAGGATTTCTAGATAACAGAGCAAAGGAAAATCCTTTTCTGTGGGAAAAATGTGTATAATTATGATTAGAAACAAGTAAGAAAAACCCCAAACAATGCACTGTGACTGCCAGTGCCTGAGAAATATTGGCTATGAAGGGAATGAATCCACAGAAGTTTAACCAGAATAAAGAACCTTGACAACAGAGGATTTTTTTTTCTGGTGACAGGTTAACTTTGCAGTGAAGCAGTAAAGCTACAAGACTAAAAGTTCCTTTTTGCATGCGCTCAAGCTTAGCAATAGGATGTATGCTTAGTTTATATCCTCTCTTCCTCCCTGGATGGGAACCCTAAAAGGGCTTTGCTGCACTCCACACACATCATTAGACCTTCAAAACCGGCACTGCTCTGAGGACAACTGGAAAAGGTGGAAGACAGGCAGGGACAAACTTGCCACATTTCACAAATACAATATTTTTCTATATGCAGCCAGTGCTGTGGTATTTGCAGCCACCCCAAGGAGCAAACACCGCCGAGGGCCCCAACACCCATTTCAACAGCACTCTCAAAGCAGCTGACGTGGGAGTAACCCCAGAGCCTTGTCATACTGAGAAAGACCATTTCCACCCACCCAACCTTTTGGGGTCACTGCCAGCAGCGTGTGCCAGAGCCCTCCTGCCTAATCCTGGTTTTCATGCTGTTTATGTTAATTTGACAGCTGCTGTAACTGAGTGAGCAGGTTGTTCCCTTCCCATAAATGGTGCTTGCTTAAAATAATCAACCCCCAGCACGAGGGAACCAGCAGAAGTTTGTGGGGTAACGTGGAAAGCTGGGAAGGGCTGAGGTAAAATACAGCTGCAGGAAATGCCAGTGCTTTCAGCTGGAGCAGTAACCATTAGCCTGTTGGTGATATGTAACTGCACACACAAATAAAACCCGCCAGCTACACAAAGAGAGGCAATATTCCTTCCTCACTCTCTGCATCTTTGTGCACACTGTCAGCAGCCTTTTGCTGTCCCCGATACAGGTTTTTCCACTGTTGCCACTATTGCATTCATCAAATTACTGTATAATTTTTGGACTATTCCTTTTCCATTCCTGTGATTTAAAGGCTGAGAGTCTCCGCCATCTCTCTCCTCACTGCAGTGGGATAGCAAAGATCAGTGCACGTGACCACGGACTGTAACCTTCTGATAAAAGATAAATTATGTTACTCTGTCTTGAAAGAGCAGTGAATCACCCCACAAGAGAGATGAGGTTTTGCTGTTTACAGAAGTCTCTATTACAACGATTGTAGGCAAAATTTCTGCTTTGTGGTTGAAGTTGATGGAAGCCACTCATACATGTCCAAAAGACAATTTCTGAAAGAGCCCTCCGAGAGCTATACCGACTGTGAAAACCTGCTTGTTCTTCTCTTTCAGGTACCACATTGCCGTGATCGTGTTGATTTATTTGCTGCCTTTAATGGTGATGTTTGTTGCATACAGCATTATAGGAATCACTCTGTGGAGAAGTGCAGTTCCAGGCAACCACCTCCACCGAGTCCGCTACGAACACCAAGTTAATGCCAAAAAAAAGGTCAGAAGTGAAACTTAAAAATCATTCCCCTCAGCACACCAGCCCTGCTGGCTCCAATTCCAAAATGGAGCTTGCGGCGGGTACAAAATCTTGTGGGATTGGGCATGAAAAGTTAACAAAATATTTTGGGCCAGGGGTAAAGAGCATCCCCCAGCAAGTTTGAAAAAAAACGGTGATTAGATGCACCAGCCAGCCTGCAAGGAACAAAGGCTCACAGGAGCAGTCCAGTTCCCAGCAGTCCTTAGAGAGTAAAGCCTGGTGCCCAGTGAGTCCACACGTTGCAGGAAAAACCAGAGTAAAACTCTTGACAGGCTGAAGAGGTTTCAATGTAACAGCAGTGTTCTCATTTCCCTGCACATCTCCCTGATGCAGAAGCAAGCAATTCCTCTGCAGGACTTGGTGCACCAGGAAACATTTGCTCTAACTCCCTCCCTGTTCCCAGTTTCTAACGCCACAGCTAGTTTCTTTGCCATAGCAGCCCAGCTCTACATTCCATACATTGCACTTCGTGAGGGCAAACCAGACCCAAAACAAAAGCAGCACTTCCCATTGCCCCAGAAAGCTCAGACAACCACCCAGAGGCCCCGGAATAAACCCCTGGTTTTGTTTTCCTAGTTTGTGAAGACCATGGTGGTAGTGGTGATCATTTTTGCTGTCTGCTGGCTGCCCTACCACATATACTTCATCCTGGGGAGCTTTAAGGAAGACATCTACCAGCAAAAGTACATTCAGCAGGTGTATCTTGCAGTCTTCCTCCTTGCCATGAGCTCTACCATGTACAACCCCATCATATACTGCTGCCTTAACCAGAGGTGAGTAGTGTGCTCGTGTGTGCACGGAGAAAACAAAAATCTCAGTCTGAAAAAGCATAAATCTCTGGAGGAGAGAACAGCTGTGATTTTCAACTGCAGTCCATAGGCTGAGTGGACAACTTAATTTACACTTTGCTGATAATGTGAGATGGGGCACCCTCTGAGTGAGATTTTAAGTCGGCCCTTAAGATTTTCTGCCTCGGAATAAAATGCAGGTAAGCACATGTAAAATCAGTGCAGCCACATTTGCACCCAGTTCCACACGCAGACCATCCTACTTCCAAGGGAGGAATCTGTAATCCCTGCAATGCATCTGCTGAGCTAATGCTGGGCTGGCTCAGCCACCTGCTCCTCCCAGGCCATCCCCCCAGCACAGCCCTGAGCCCCCCACAGTCCTGGGGAAGCAGGAGCAGCCCAGGGGCGTCCTGCTGCAGGTCCCATCCCGGCATGCACGAGGGAGTCCCCACGAGGGAGCAGCTGGGAGAGCACAACCCCATCATGCCAAGAGATGTCCCTCTTGCTCTGTGCTGGTGTGTCGGGATGCAGAGCATGGGAGCTGCTCCAGCTGCCCGTGGATCTCCATGCCAAATCCTGCATCTGTAGCCCGCCTCTCCCTTCAACCTGGCTGCACGCAGTTCGAGGGTAACCAAATGCTTAACTCCAGAGGGACGCTGAGAGGCTCGTTTCAAACAGCACCCTGCCTGTAAGCTTGCGAAGGAAGACAGTTTTGCAGCCCATCTAGCAAACCTGCATTTAACATGTAACACTCAAACACGCTCTCTCCCTCCTTTCTCAGAAAGCAGACAGCTTCCTCATTTAACAATTCATGTTTTTTTAAAAAAGCTTCCAGTGGGTAAACACATATTTTCCTCAGATGCTCTCAAATGCTGTTACCAGCATGGTCAGCATCATCTACTGAGCACATCAAACAGCCTGCCATTTCGCCGATCTTATATATTTACTTAAAATATATGGAAATCTGATCATAAACTCCTATTGCACCTCCCTCTGTGGTTTTATACATTTAGCTCTTCACCTCTCTCCTTTGATTTCAATAGAAATTTTTTATTTCCATGGTCATCCACAGGTAGAACCAAGTCATGAATTTGTTCATTCTCTGTGCAATTAAAAAGATCATTTCACCACTTAATTTCTTTTCTCACATTGACAGGTTTCGTTCCGGTTTCAAGTTGGCCTTCCGGTGGTGTCCGTGCATAAAAGCAACTGAAAAAGACAAACTTAAACTTACGTCCCCATCTCTTTACCAGACAACCCACAGGAAGTCAAGAACAAGCAGTTTTGACACAGGAACTCAGCTGAATGAGAAAGAAAAGACATCATTTACCCTCGCCCAACTAAAGCTCTGATTTCCTCCTCCTGGTTCTAGTTCTATCCTCACACACCATGTAAGGGCAGCAGATTTGTAGAAGCCTAAGGTAGATTTTTTTTCTGGAGCAACTGTTTCCTACAAGACTTCTTTAGATGCCATCAGCATTAAAAGCAGCCTGCTGGTAATACTTGTGTCCATGTAGGTCCAAATATCACCCAGCTATGGATGTAAGTTTAGCTCTCCCATACATCAACAACTGCAACACAGAACAGAGATCATGCCCGTGAGGTCAGAAGAGCAGTGCCCATCAGTGGAATAGCAATTATTCTCTTCCACATAGTGATCATCTGCCTTCTCTTCCACCAAGACACTTAAATCTGGAAAAGAGGTGCTGGAGCAGCAGCAGAGGTGCTGGGGCTCATCTGGCCCAGTTTGGATGGACCGCCAGGGCTGTGTGGGCAGCTAAGTCCCATGGCTCAGCAGCCCCAAGGCGGGTAAGACTGTGGATCAAAGCTTGTTTGTATCAAAGGCAAATACTAACACCTCGAGACTGAAAAATCAGGCCTGCCCTGAAAATTTTCTGAGTTCTGGAATTTTCATGCCTGCAATTTCCCCAGCACTACCTCTCATGAGTTAAAAGAGAGAAACAGTTCCTTAAGACATCATCATTGCATGGATTTCTATAACCTTGTACCAAAATACGATGTCATTTTCCTATTAAACTATTAAACTCCTATTAACAAGTGATTCCTCCTTCACATAGTTAATTGTGGAGCCTAATTTGGAGAGTGAGGCTCTCTGGAGAGTCAGCAGCCAGGTGTGGGCTGCCCACTGGTTTGGTCAGTGCTCATGGATGCATTCTGAATCCTTCCCCTCCTTTTAGTCCTAACAGCAGCCTGACCCATCACTGTCTTTTCCCAGATAGTCCCTTCATCTTCTCTTTCCAGACTTACCCCATATTTATCCTCACTGCTCTTCTCTTCTCAGATATGAAAATAAAGGCTGAAACATGTAATCTTCCAAGCCTGAGGCATTATGTGCAGGCATGCAAAACAGGGGGAGCTGAAATCTAAACATTATATAAAAGTAATACAGCATTTAATACTGGTGTGATAAGTAGCACCTCACAATCACCTTCACCTCTCATAAATGATTTGTAAAGAATATCACAGAGCCAAACCTTAGTGATTAAAAAGCTCCCATAATGTCAACAAGACCATTATCTGAAATATTCCCCTTTGCTCTGTGAAAGTAAAACTACAAAGTGCTTCCAGGCTTAAATTCTGCAGTAAATCCAGAGAAATGATTTGCGGCTTGAACTGAAAGAGTACTCAGGGATATGATCTTCCCAAGACTGTTTCAGTACAGGAACCAGTAGATATATCTTCCTTGTCCACTTCTCCACCTCTCTGGCTGCTGTGGAGAACAATTATGTTATGCAGAGGCCCAACGAACTTGTTCCACTAATGGGACAATAGAGCCCAGGGCTGTATGCCCTTCTGGAAAAGTTCACAATTGTATGTCATTCCAGCAGGTAGTTTTTAGTCCAGGTGTTACCTGGCCAGCCCTCCTACCTGGCCAGCCTGCTCCTCCCAAGGCTGTGCTGCTGGTGTGTGCAGGGGGCAGAGGGGGAGCAGGAAGAGGCATTTACAGGCAGCCACCAACTGAAAACCATCTGGGAGGGATGCTCTGCCAGGCACACATCTCTGGGATCAGGCTAGAGGTGGGCAAAGACTTCTGCTCTGTGGAACTGCAGGACACCTACAGAGTTCACTATAAGATATACATAAACTGTACCTCCCCCTGCCCAGCTGATGTGATTCTAAGGCAGTTTTCTAATGCAGAGCTTTTCAGACCAAACAGGCCTACCTTCAGCATCCCCCCCTTCCCCTCCACCTTCCATCACACCTGAACAGAGGCCAGAGCCTATTTCAGATGTCACACGTGTGCTGCCAGTGCAGCCCCTGTGCAGTCCCTGACAGGCACCAATGTCTGCTGACAGCTCAAGGCATCTTTCTCTTGTTTGGTGCAGAAAGCAGGGGGTGATTTCTTCAGGTTGCAAAAGGAATTCCCCATGCGCTGGTAGACTCCCACGGCAGATCCTGAGGTTTCATCCCACAGAAACAGCAACAGTTAAGGGAGCAGAGACGCTCTGAGCCCCTGTTACACTGGAAGAAAAGGCATGCCAAGGCAGGCTACATTATTCCTGTGATACATGAGGTAACAGGAACACCATGCTCCACAGTAAATACATGCAATTCTTCATATAAATATAGACAGGATTAAATACCACGCAGCAGTAAAGACCTCCAGGGCAGCACTAAATCCCTCCTCTGCATGGTTTCTTGTGCTCTAAGCAGCAAAGCAGTCCCTGCAGTCAGTAAAGAAAATACTTGAAGAATCTCATTTTTAAGGCAAAGGAATGAACAAAAAGCACAGAACGGGGTTCAGAAGTTCAGAAACACTTTATTTTGCCTTCTGCTATTTTCTTAAGAAAACAAAACAAAACAAGGTCTGCTTGTTTTAAAACTCATTCAAAAGGCTTCTGAGAGAACCCTCAGAGGAGGAAGGAGGAGATGACATTACAACAGTGGTATGCAAATGGTCTTTTCCCCAGGAAATATAAGATTTTTGTGTTCATATTGCAGTAACTACAGCTTAACAATTAAGAGGACTGTGATTTTATTCACCAAGCCTAAAAGCTTTAAGAAAGACATCTCAGTCATTGCTTGGATAACATTGGAGACATTTCTTCAGACAGTTATAGCGTGTGATTCACTTGGAACAGTTTCCTAGGGGTAAGAAGTAGTCTGGAAATGAAAATCCCACCAGGTGTCCCTTTGGAAAAGAACTGCTGTGTCTTATCAAGCACATCAACTATGGTCCACGGTAGGAAAAGCTGCGCTGTTAGAAACACAAACTCACTCCCTATTTGTTATGAGCTGGATCCAATAAACAAAATGACCTATGCCAGCACCTCCAAAATTCACAGTCACCCTGAGACCGAGTTTAACTTCCACTTCTCATTCCCCTCTACCCTGCACTGAGCCTAGCTCTCAGATGCCAAAGAGCTCCAAACCCAGGTCCCCAGGCACGGCTCACACCACCCCTACAGCACTGCCGACTACGGGCAAGCACAAGATTTGCAAACCTTCAAGCAATTCAAATGCAACATGTCCCCTGTGCCCAAAAAGTTTCTCACCTTCTTCTGTCTCCTGTTTGGGGTCATAGCTGCACATCAAGGGTGTCAGAGACTATTCAAGCTGTAACGTAAAATGGGCTATTGGAGAAGCACAGCTCTAGTGTATGCAAAAGGGGCTTTCATCTACAACAACTCCAACACAGGCTGTGCCAACCAGTGGTGTAGAGCACCTGACACCAGGATTCTGCAAACGTTAACCCTTTGCACACAGGGAGCTCACCGACTGTGACATGATGTATCCATCACTGAGTATCTGGCAAAGCCTAGTATAATCACACTGCTCTCGGTGCAGTGGGCTGAGGTTTTCCTGCACTGCAGATCCCCCTGCACAAGACAGGGCACGAGGTGCCCCCAGACAAGCTACGTGCCCCCTAAGATTTGGGCGTTGTCAGCGCTGTGCCTCTGCTGAACTACATTAGGAAACACGAGGCATGGGGACCTGGGTGAAATCCACCCTGTTTGAATCTGACCCCGAATGCCCGGGAATAAAAACACACACACAAAACACAGGCACCACTGGGATTAGGTTGCAGCTCTCCCTACACAATAGCTCTTCCCAAAGCACTAAGCCACCAGCCAACAGCACCTCTTCCAGAAAGAACCACTAAACACCAGTTAACGCACATCAAAAAAGTTTAATATTTTCACAAGTATCACGTAACACTAGTACCAGAGCTACTAGTGTGCAAAGTAAAAAGACTCTCTACCTTTGCAAAACCAGTTAGGCATGCAATTTTTCAGGTAGACACACACTTAAAGCTGCAATGACTGTTTGTGACTCACATGTTACTTTACAACATTCACTCACAGTGCACCATAATGCATATTGAAATGTTATCGATAGGTAGGGCAATCCAAATCTTAGAGGAGTGGAATGAGGAAAAAGAGGAGTAGCCTGCAAATTTCCATCTACTTTCTGCAGGAAAAGGCAGCAGGGAAAACCATGCAGATATCTCAAATTCATTTTTGGTAGAAGAGTGGGAATTAAGGACTACTGTGTGGTCTCCCTCTTTGCAGAAAGTGGTGTGACTTGCAAATGTTACTCGACATTTACCTTCCTAACTGCTTTTCAATTTCAGTAATGCAACTGGTATGCAAGTATAATAATGGCATCGACTCGACAGAGGACAGGGGACACCAAGTGTGTATGATCTTTGCTGTTGCTTTCATCCTTGGAATAAGCTGCGTCCAATTTTGGCTTGGTGGGTTGTCTATACGCCCAGGTCCTCAAAGGCAAGATCAAAATCAAACCCTCCTATTCCTTTCTGAGCACTAACTCTAGCTGAGTGTTTGTGTTCTGAGTGATTGCTGAACAGTATTAAAGATTAAAGCTCTGTGTGGAAGCAAATACCCATTTAAGGCGAGAGACGGAAGTGCCGCATCCGAGGGACACAGGCGAGCTGCAGGTTCCGGGGAAGGGCAGCAGCAGTGCCCTGATCCAGACTAACAAGAAGAGATAGGAAGTACTTTTTATAAGAACTCTTAAACAGAAGAGCACAGCACAGCCGTGCAGGGACCATGAATCTGCCGATCTCGCAGGTCTGGAGGTTTGGATTACCCCAATCACCAACCACTTCATTTTACTCTTTGGGGATTTCTTGCCGAAACGTGGCGGATTTCGCCCAGTAACACAACACTGCTCACAGAAGCAATGGGAAATACCAGTGGAACCAGATCTGTGGGACAAGGGCGTTTACTTTTACCATGACAGAACAGGCATCAAGGAAGCGAGTAAGTCGCGGTGTCAAGTCCCACTATAGAGTTACGTGCGTGCACGGTGCTGACACACCATAATGTTTTCACAATCGCTTTAGACGGAACAACAGCAGGTAGATATGCAGGAGGGAACTGTTGCTTCCCCTTCACTAAAAGCATCAACACCCAAGTCTGGTGGTCAGTGTGCTGGCAGTGCGCTCACAGGGATGCTGCAAAGGACACACTCGGTACGATGCAACGGTAGCTCTCAATGCACATCACTTGGGGGCAATTTCGTCTCAGACAACAACCGAATTTTGACAACTGCAGAAATTATAGACTGATTTTTTTTCCATGACCTACAGATGGGGAAGGTACCAACAAGGTGAGTAAGAAACATGCAGATTGGGGTCCAGAAACAGGAGATATTATTAACAGCACACATTCTATCTTGTATCCTATTTTTTTTCTTTTATGCCATTAGTTGTAATTTTTTTTTTTCCCCCGATAAAGCAGTGAGTTCTGGGTTTTTACCAGTTCTGACTATGCAGTCGCTGCTTTATGAGAAAGTGCTCACAAGACAGAATCGGGGCCAGGGCTGTGGAGTTCAGTTCTGCTCGGCCTCGCGCAGCCGGCATCCCACCGCTGTGATGAGCGCGGCCCCCTTCCCGCTGCCGTCCTCCGACAGCAGGAAGGTCACGTCGCAGTTGGGTGCCAGGTCCTTGACTGTTTGGTGCATGATCCTTGAAAAGCTGTGAAAGGAAACACGGGCAGTGGGTGAGGGAGGCCTTGCACCATCCGCAGAGCAGAGCGCTGCCATGGGCCTCTGCGCTGCATCCCCCTTCACCAGGGAAAGAACTGAAATGTTGGAAACTAGGGTGGATTTGAAGACTGGGCGCAGTAGGAGTTAAAGGAAAGAAGCACTGGCATCCCAGCCCTGCCTCTCTGTCTGTGTGGGGTTAACTCAGATCACTACTACCACAGCAAAGGGAAGAGAAGAGATCACATACGTCATCTCCTTCCCACCCATCTCCCTCCATGCACACTGGAGGTGGGCACTAGTCCTCTCCTCCTGCCCCTGCTCTTTTAGACTCCTGCCCTCACCTGCATTGCTCCTCAGCAGCCCATCTCCGCTGTGCCCAGAACAGAAACATCCTCCACAGAGGCACCAAGCATTTCAGCACTGCTCTGTCATTGCCTGTGCACAGCCAAGAGATCCCTCCCTCGCTGTACAGCTTCCAACTCATCCAGCAAAGGCTGTGTCCCCTTCAGTTTGTCACCGCCCCAAGAATCTTTCACAAGTCCTTCTTGACCCTTTTGTTGCCCTTCAGAAAGCCCTGAATCCCCTGACTAAGACTTCTTCTTCCGTGGCTCTTATCCTGGCAAGTAGGAGAGCCCAGTTTGGCATGTCAAGAGAAGGGATGTACACGCAACGCGCTACAGGCAAAAAACTGCTGAGAAGGCAGATACTCACTGAGGATGTAGTTTGTAGAGAGTGCCATCCACACCGACCGTTATCTCCAGGCGCTCCAACCCTCTGTTCTCCCTAATTTTATCTACGACGGCAGCCATTCCAGCGCCACACAGCTGAGCTGCCCGCCTTGACACCGCCCCGCAGACCGTCTTGACAATGATACTGTCGTCGCAGGTGCTGTTGAGCCCCAGCTGCTGCAGGATGGTTCGCACCTGCAGCAAGGCCAACCTGTCACTGCAGAAGGAGAGCACAGTGGTAAAACTAAAGGTTCCCCTCGCACAGGCCGGTGCCACAAACCCCACTGCACCCATGGCAGCAGCCTTTCCTGACAGCACTAGAGACCTCAGGGAATGCAAATTCATTCGCCCCAGCACCATGGCTGCAGTGTAGGAGAGGGGTGCAAGCAGCCACAGAGGCTCCAAGTCCAGCTCTGCATTGCTTCCCCTTCTCTTTTCTTACCATGAGGCGTTTCAGGAAAATATTTTTCATTATGAACTTGGGGTTTTTTTCCCCATAAAGACTCAGAGATTGATTTAAAATACAGAGCCCAAGCAATAAAAACACAAAAACACCCAGTAAAAAGTGCCCACTCAGCTAGTGTTCATTCTATCCCACAACTATACCTACACACACACAAGGGGCCCAGGAAAATGGCCTGATTTCCAAACAAGCAAATAAAACAATATAGTGAGGGAATCCTTAACGGCCCTTTCCAGGATTTAGCAGTGAGCATTGATAGAAATTCAGATGATGCTGTAAAGAGTCCTTCTGCACACACAGAGGCTCTTACTGAAACCAAAATAATCTCTGGAGGAGTAAGCAATGCTCTCCAGCTGTCCCTCCCCTTCAGGAGTGTCACCAGCCGAGCACCACCACAGTATTTCACACTGAGCAGCCTCCCATGCTCTTACCTCTCAATCTGAGAAAGGAACTTGGTTTCAAAGATATGCCTGGTCTTCAGCGTCTCTGAAATCTGGCCTCGGAACAGGAATCCCCGTTTGGTGAAGTCGATCAAAATATTGCGGACTATTTCCCCCAGGTACATCCCACTGATCATTTTCTCATACCTGCAAGGAAAGACAGCGATGCAGCTCGGAGGGAACCTGCTCACGTTTGCAAAGGCAGCATCACAGGTCTGTCACTCACCAGCCAGGTGTCCTGCCCCCACACTTTGGGGACATAAGATACGCAACCCCATTCACACAGAGAGGCCATTTACTAGAAAAAGTAGGCAAGAAAAAGCATGAAGACTTGGTGGGAAGCCTCATGAGCCCATCTACAGACACTTCCTTTAATTTCTCACTGCCATGTTCCCCTGGCCAGGCATGTTAATGACGGCTGGTATTTCTCCCAGATGAAAGAAATGAAAACCTGTCACCAGAGAGCAGAATGGTGCCCAGTCAAAAGGCACATTAGCCACGCATTCCCCAAGGACAGCCCTGAGTGGACCCCAGGACCCCCTTGTCTCCACATTTGGGAGCCCTCTTGAAGCAAGGCTTCAAACAGAAAAAGTTCAGTGGTTCCATGCAGCAAAATTACAGGGAAACTAACAAGGTACAGTCACTGCAAGTGCAGTGTTTTTAAGGGAGTCCTGTGCTGCAAAACTAACCCTGTGGAAGATAAAGGATGTGGAAAGGTACATCTGGCATGTTCACAGGACCACTGACCCATAAACCAGCAAGCTGGAGGTCCAGGGTTGGCTTATGCTCTTCACTTAATTCCAGCACCTGGTTTCCAGTAGGAAACCAGTAGTCCCAAAACCACAGGGAGGAACCAAGCTGTCTTGAACCCCTCTCACACCCCACTCTGCACACAGGACCCAAGTTTGCCCCCAGGCTAGAGAGAGGGAATATCTTCCACCTGCAGACCTCCTCCCAGCACACGACAAGGAGTGGCCCCTGCACATGGCACAGGGCAGCCCTGCTTTGCATTCCCGCCCCTCCAGCACCATCCTGGTTTGAATGGAGCTTTCTGAGGTCTGCGAGTTGTGTCCCTACCAACAAACTGAATGCTCTTCCATTTCCTGAGCAGGGCCATTCAGTGATGCCTCCTTTATTTCACCTCCTGAAGCTCTACAGCAGTGTCAGTGCCCTGGATTGAGCGGAGCCCAGCACACCACCCTGCTGGAAGCGGGCCACGCAGTCCATTTAATACTGTGAACTCTCTCAGGCTTGTACCCAGCAAGAGTCCTCCCTCTTGAGTGCCTAACTATCTCAGGAATAAATTATTCCCCCTGGCAGTCTCCATGACTGGCTTTGGCTGCTTACTCCATGCCAACTTTGCTGCTGCATCAGGCTCACCCAGCATCTGCCTCTCTGGGTCTGTTTGAGCCTCAGCTTCTAAAGAGCTTCCCATGGGACCTGCCAACTTGTCTGTATTCCCCAGGTTTTTGGGCAGATTTACTCTAATCACAAAATCTTTTTAAAAGCTCCTGGCATCAAAGCATTGCTGCAGAGAAATGATGAAAAAGTGTAGTCCCAGCATGCAGCAGTTTCAGTCCAGTTCTATCAGTGCTGGGTACACCTCCCACCAGCCCTTTCTTGAAGGGGACAGGGAAGCACTTGCCCAAACAGGAGCTGAACCCCCAGAAGAGGACCAAACTCCAGGACCAAGAAAGGTAGGTCCTCTAACATGACACATTTCATCCAGAAAATGGCCTGAAATAAGAGCCTGCAACTGGCTGCAACTGCTAGAAAGCTCCTGACTGCTTTACAGCAAGCAGCTCCAAGCTCCAACCACACCAGCTGGTACAGGCTCAGGATTTCTACAGGCACAAAAAGAGAGTTCAGCTAAAAGAGATTAACCTGAGATCAAGAGCAAAAGTATGACAAGACATCTTAACCCCCTCAGTATAGCACAGGATAAGAAAAAGGGTTTCTTTGTAATTTCAAGACTTTTGAAGCAGGGACCAGGAAAAGCACAGGAAGGGAAGATCCCACAGGATAGCAAGGCTGCAGTCATTTTCCACCTCTCCCTTCTCCGACTACAATTCTCTCTTAAAAGCATTTAAGACAGCCTGGTTTATATCCACAGCACACAATTCACAGAATTTATAGCAAAGTACCTTTGCTTTCCAGCATTCAGTGAATAGTCATCAACTGCTTTGTCATATATTGTCCTGATGTCGTCCAGGCATCCGTTATCCCCGAACGCTCCCCACTCCGTGTTCACGCACATCCGCCCTTGCTCACCATCCACCATCTCTATGTTCCTCATCTCTTCCATGTAACAGGCATTGCTGCCCGTTCCTGGAGGAAGAAAATACTGACATTGCTCTTTGTTTGGAACAAAGCAACACTAGGACCAGCACCACAGCCCTGAAAAGCCTTCTGGGGGATCCCGATCGTGCTTCCTTCTGAATGACGAAGTCAAATCATCATTTGAAAATATCAGGGAAAAACCAAAACCTCACACTTCAGTAATCCTAAACTGAAGGATAACATTTCTGCTGTGCTGCACAGCTCAAGATGACTCAGAGAAGAGGCTCACCCTGGCCACCCATGAGGGTCCCATGCTGCAGGGAGGGGCAGCAGGGCAGCACTTTTGGTCCACCAACCCTCATGGTGTTTCTGAACCCAAAACCACAGCAAGCAACCAGCTGGATTTTGCAGTTAGGAACCACCCTTTCACAAAGCCCACAGACCCAGAGAATCCAGGGAAAATGTGCTGAACTGAAAACCTCAGCAAGTTCTGAGGTATCAGGGCTTTTACCAGCTGATTGCTTGGGGTTTTTTTCTGATTTAAATTGCTTATTTTCTCTGGTAGGAAGGTTACTTCCATGTTGAAATGACACAATATCTGATTCTGCTTAAAGGAGATCCTAAGGAGTATGGCAAGTGCTCCATGTACACAGAGGTCTTGGGGAGCAAAGCTTTATTAGCAATGAGAGGCAGCTTTAGCTGCTACTCAGGGCAAAAGTTTTCTTGAAGTTACCTAAGGAACTCCATTTAACCCTGCACCACAGATTCTGCATCAGTTATGGCAGCAAGTCTGTTTTCCTTTGCCGTTTTTGTAGGGAAATATATCAATACAGTCTGAGCTAAAATAGATCCTCCCACAGTACTCCCTGCTGCAGGAGAGATGAGCCACAGCACAGGGTGTGGGGGGGACGTCTGGGCTTGCAGACTGAGACTCAGGATTGCAGGACCAAACCAGACCAAACCCAGCTGTGGGCCACCACCAGTGTCCAACCTGCCCCACCAGGTGCCACCAGCCCGGCCCAGGCGATCCAGGCAGGGCAGAGGGAGCCTGTCAGAGCCCAGGGCTCTCACTCCCATCATCCCAGAAGTACCCAGGCCACCTCTGACCCCCTGCTCTGCACACAGACACGCTGCTGCAGAGCATGCCTGGCAGGGCTGCAGCAGGCAGTCCTGAGAGGATGCTCCCAGTGCCCCAAGGACACGCTGTCCTTCCCGTAGGGAACTCTGGTTCCTGAAAACACGCCACCGATGGAGCTGCGCAGACACGACTTCCTACCCACACTGCACTGTGCTGACTCATCCTGGACACCTTCCAACTGCCTGGAGGAGAAATTGGTGGCGTTTTATTTTCCTACAAGCCACCTCACAACTTAAAGCTTGCGGGTGCTTTGTCCCCTTCTCTCCCACAGAACACTCATTTCTCTGGATAGCTTTGGGAATTCACACCGCCCCACGTCTCAGGCTCCCCGGGTGTGTGGCATTTGCATGTCACCCATGGAATTACTTCAGCTGTCTCGCTGCTGGGAAGGCAGCTCTCAGTCACTGCACTCTGTCTATCAGAGCTCTCCATCACATGCCATTTGGGAACTGTGGCTGTGCTTCGCAAGTTTATTCTGAGAGACCACATGCTTGAGGGAAGTTGTGGGCTACTGGAACACCCTGGCAGGGAAACTCTGACAGGCTGAACTAACAGAAACTCCAGGAGCTGGTGAGGCTGCCCGAGCCCACCTCTGCTCTCTTCTCAAGCAGCACAGTGCCTTTACTAGATAAAACAGGCAGGATTTGTTTGGCACCACAGCCTCTGCTTATCTCAACTGACTGCAGGCAGAACTAAGCTGGCTGTTGAATTTTGCTCTTTCACTCCTGAACACCCTGGCTTTATTTTCAGTTAACCACAGGGATGCCTCCATGAGAATACACACAGATGTGTTGACGTGCTGTTCAATAAAAAGCAGCTCTAACACATACCCACAATGAGCCCGATTTCACAGTTTGGGTCTTCGTAAGCACAGGTCATCATTGTGCCCACTGTATCATTCACCACAGCCACCACATCCAAGTCAAATTCCTTTGGGAGAGAGAAATACAACAGTGAGAACTCCGGGCTTGGGGCAACCATCACACCAAAGGGGACACGAAAGGAGCATACTATAGGGGATGCTGTTGAAGCACACTGGAAACAACTAAAATTATCATCCTGATTTCACACACACAGAAATAGGAACTTAATCTACCAGCAGGCAGCTAAGGCTCCTCACATGTTGTACCTGTGATAGACCTGTCTCCAGACGAAAGAATATTCCTGACTGTTCTCTTTGGCTTAGGTATGTTATGTACAGATCTTGTTCAGAGGCACATGGTAGAGGACTATCAGCATTCTCTATTACAGCAATAAGGTAGCAAATCCAGTAACAAAGGTTTTAAGACCTCCTTTTCACTGGCTGACAAAACCTCTGCAAAAGTAATGTCCTCCTCAGGCTATTTTTCTTCCCTTCCTAGAAAGTTTTGGCTAAGCTGGTTGAGGCATTTTAAAGATCAAGGAGGGGAGGGGGGAAAACTGTCCTTTAGGGTGCACTGAGGTGCATTCCTACAAGCACCATTTTGAAAACTCCTGCTTTCTCCATGCTCTGATGCATGTGAAATTGCCACATGGGTTGAAAGAAGTCTTGAAAGTTTGGGCAAATTTGGAAAGTTAGAAGCCTCTGGGGGGAAAAAATAATCAACCTTCTGTGCAGGACAGGAGATACAGCTCATGTCCACAAGGCACACAAACCTTGTGAGAGGGAGTCAGCCTGACCCACGAGGTCTGTCAAGTCTGGAGGGGACGGAGGAGCAGGAGGAGAAAAAGAAAACAAAACCAAAAGAAAAATCACCTCTCTTCTTTTAATTCCTTCTCTAAGCAAATATACCACATCTTCTCCCTCGCAGTCCGTAGCTTTGAAGCCTTTTGTCCAGTTGAGAAGGATACCCTAAAAAGCAAGAAAATAAGTTACCAAGTTGCTAAGACTCAGATGTTGCACTTCATACTTCAAATGATTTAGTTTGAGGTCTTACAGAAGAGCCTCTGTGAATTTGCATCTAAAACGACTAATCGTGTTTGGTCTCTGAATTTCCAGAGCAACGTATGAAACTCACAAAAAAAAAAAAAGTGACAGGAACAACAAACTCAAAAAAAAACAAGCGTGTAACAGAAAAAATGTCTTTCTTCAAAACAAACAGCTAAGTAGACAGGAAAGTATTAAGAGCTGCACAGGTGGGGTTGGTGTAAATCTGTGGCAGCGAAGAAGTTAAACACTAAGAGAAAAGAACAAGGGCACACTTGTCAGGGACATGCTGCAGGCCACACTGTCACCTCAGGGTGACACAGCCCACAGGCCCTGGTCCATCTGCTCCATCCCATGAGACAAGATGAACTAGGAATAGGTGCGGGGATGGACTTTTGCTTACTGCTTGCAAAACTAGGGAAGTAGAGCAGCAGGTTTATATGGTGGGAAAAAAAATAACACCTTAAAAAGTGGTATCAGCACCACGGAAAATTTAAATGCTCTTATCTTCGCAGCCATGGGCTGAGCAGCATTTGCATTACTACCCTTAAAGGAACTATTTATAGGAGCAGCTCTACTGATGAGGGTCAGAGCATAAACCTTCTCCTTGTACAACCTTCCTGTAAGTGTCACGTGGATGATATGAAGACAGAGAAACCAGGCCTGGCACAGGCACAAAAGCAGATTCAAAAGACACTAAGGAACTTACAGCATCCAGACTGGTCTGCTTGCAAGGGAAGGAAAAGGTGAAGCCAAGAGGAAGACGTGCACCTTTTATCCCCATATAATCCAGGAAGTCAGAAATGCAGGTAACGATGTGATCAAACAGCTTTAAAGAGAAAAGTCATATTATTTTAAGGTGTACATGTTACTTGCTCTTAAGAAGTTATTTAAAAAGCAGCACTGCAGCCAGAGAGAAACACAAATACCTCTTCTCCTGTTCCCTGCATCACCTCTATAGGAATGGCATAGATCTTGTTGTGCATCTCAACTGTTCTCCTTTTACCACTGCGGATTTTCACCAGCAAAACTCTAAAGTTTGTCCCTCCAAGGTCAAGTGCCAGAAAGTCTCCGTTTTCTGTAAAAGAACATGTGTGTATATTTAAAGAACCATAAGCAAAATATGAAAAAGTGCTTTCTCCAGAAAGTACTTTGACAGAAAATCTCTGAGAAACTCAGTTGGGAAGATCTTCATCAAAGGAGGATTTTAGATGCTGTTCTGATTATTCTATCTCCTATTTTTGTGTGTGTTTTTGTTTTATTTTTGGTTTTGTTTTGCTTTAAACTGACAAGGAAAAAAGGACCCATACAACCGTTCCCTGAGAGAAAGCAGAAATTTGGCCGCGCTGATGGGCAAAGAACTGCCCACTTAGCGCGAACAGGGCTCGTGTGGGTTTGGGTTTATGAGCCCAGCCGTGGCTTTATGAGCCCGACTGTGGTTTTATCCCCTCAAGCTTTGGCTTTGCTTGCACCACGGGGTAAGAACATGGGGCCAGCAACCAGCCCAGGGCAGTGCAGGCTGAGATCTCCTCCTCTGCACGGCCCAGATTCCTCTTTGATCGCACCAGTTCTGCTCCCCCTCCATCAAACTCAAACCCAAACCCCACGGCCGGGAGCCGGTTTTGGGCACCCCATATCCGAGCCAGTGTCCTCCCTCCAGCGAGGCCATGCCTCTACCTGTCCCATCCGGCGTGCTGCGGACGAAGGTGGGCAGCATTTTCACTTTGGCCGTCTCGTGAGTCTTCTTCTTCAGCCCCGCTTCCATCTCCGCCCTCATCCTCTTCTTGACCTGCAGCAGCTGCTCGTGGGTGAGCTTGAACTCGGCCAGGGTCTCGTCGATGAGCCGGTGCTGCTCCGACAGCCGGTAGGCCACGGCCGTCACCATGGCCGCCCCCTTCCCGCTGCCGCTCTCCGACAGCAGGAACCGCACCTCCGAGTCGGGCACCAGGCGCCGCGTGGTTTTGTGCAGGCGCCGGGCGTACCTGGGGGAGAGGAGGCTGCGAGCCCCACGTCTGCACGGGCTCCCCCCGAAACCTGCGCTGCCAGCACGGACCGACTGCAGGCAGTGAGGACACTCGTCGTGCCCAAAATACCTACAGCCTCCCAGGCAGGAAAACTGCCAGGGAAGAGCAGTTCTTCCCTATGGCCTCTTTGCTCTGGAATTTCTAAGCAAAGCCAGTAAAAAGCAGAGAAGAGCATCAGAGTCCCATCCCCTGACCACGAGCCCAGATAGAAGAAATCCCCTGGTTCCCCTGCTGCTCTGATCCCCTCTCCTGAGGTCATCTCCTGAACTCACTGGTTTAGATGGTGTGGGGAAACAGTTCAGAAACCAAAATTGCCCATGTATGTTATCTTCACAGAATCACAGAATATGCTGAGCTGGAAGGGACCCACAAGGATCACGGAGTCCAACCCTCAGCCCTGCACAGGACCATCCCCAACAGTCACACCATGGGCCTGAGAGGATCATCCAAACACTCCTTGAGCTCTGCCAGCCTTGCTTTGACCACTGCCCTGGGGAGCCTGTTCAGTGCCCAGTCACCCTCTGGGGGAAGAACCTTTCTCTAAAATCCAACCTAAAATTCCCCTGACACAACCAGGCCATTTCCTCAGGTCCTGTCACTCCCTAGACCTGCCCATCTGGAAAAACTAGGCAAAACAGGATTCTTGGAAATTCTTTCGTTTGCCAAAATTTTATGGTTTTCTTTAACTGAGGGAAACACTGTTTTCAACAAAATAATGCGAAACTGAAAATGAAACACTAACCATATTTCTCTCCTTTCAGAAGTTTCCTCATAAATTACACCTTCTGATTTCTACATAACTCTAAGCAGCTTAAAAATTAAAAATATTATTTGATTTAAATATTATTTGATTAAAAATATTGTTTGCTTTAAAATGTTGTTTGCTTTAAAATATTCACTTTCAAGATGCAGAAAAAAAAGACAAAGCCAGTTTTTTAAAGGCCACGGAAATGTAAGCACAATTTTTTTCCCCTGGTTTCCAAGAATATCTTCAGAAAAGACCAGAAAAAATAGGGTTCAGCACGGGCATTTTAAAACCAATTGAGTTTAAACTGGAAATGGATATGAAGGTGAATTTATGTGGGTCTCTTCATAGCCCAAACTAAGGGCATGAAGTAAGATTTCATACAAAGAAACTCTCCTTCTGAGAGGTCTACTGAGATCCCTTAAAGTATCTTGTCAGACCACTGTAGCTTTCCCTGATGCTGCAGTACCCAGTTACTCAGAGGTCTAGTTCTTTTCTATGTGGTTTTTAAAATCTCACACTGCTCCTTCACTTAAAGACATCTCTGCTTTCCCCTGAGCTCCCCAGCTCAGCCCAGACGCCCACATTTCGAGTTCCTCATTTCCCACCCAACCCGGGGACTCACTGTGGGTGCATCTTGTAGAGGGAGCCATCCACGCCCACGGTGGTGCGGAGGCGGCCGACCCCCTTGTTGTCCCGCAGCTGGTTGAGGATGGCACCCAGGGTGGAGGCCACCAGGTTGGCGGAGCGGAAGGACACGATGGTGCAGACGTGCTGGACGGCGATGCAGTCCTCGTGGGACGGCTCCACCCCCAGCCGCGTCAGGATCTCTTTGGCTTTGTTCAAACCTTCTTTGCTCCTACAAAGAGACAGCAGCAGAGGGGACTCCTCAGCGGGGATGTACTGAGGACTGAGGTGCATCCAACCACGGGTGTCCTTGCCTGGGGCTTGACAAGGTTAGGAAGAGAATTTCTTAGAGATCTGGACTGGGAAGCTCTGTGAGGCCTGAAACAAAATGTTCTAAACATGCATTCATTCACAGATGGAAACAGCCTTCCATTAAAGCCTGGTGCAAATATGCCACCTACAAATGGACCTGGAGGAATTAAATGCTTTTTCATCATGCTGATGCTTTAAACTTGAAACAGCTTCTCTCAAGCATGAAGCACCAGCCCCATATTTCAGCACAGGCCTGAGCACACACCTAATCCCATGCTCGTTCGCTCCTATGTCTCAGTAAATTAAACCCAGTGTGAAAAACAAAACCCTGAGCGAAGGTTGCCTAAGCAATTTCATGCTAACGGGTCTCTTTTCAGGCTTTTACAACCTCACTGAATCTCTGCCTCTTGCACTGCTTTTTCCCTCATTAGCATCCAGCCTGAGAGGAAAGTTTCTGGTAAAACTTCTCCACGTCCAGCTCGGTCATTTCCCAGACAAAAACGCAAGGAGTACATCTTGTCATCACTAACTGCACTCCATACATCTTTTTAAGGACTCCTGCATTTTCCTAGCACCAGCTAGAAATTTGAAGTTGCACAGGGATGTGCTTTCTACTTATAACCAAAGTGTTCCTCAGGAAGTGAGGTAGGATTTCAGGGCAAATTTTACTCTTAATAACTGTTTTTCTCACTGCTGTGCAAAGTTACCTTGGTCCATGACACAGACCTCTGTGGTTAAGACAAATGAACACACACATTTAATGGAAAACTATTTGGAAAAGACGGTCTGCAGGGACAGGAGTAAAATGTGGCAGGAGGAACAGGCACTGTAAAAGTTACTGGCTGTTTTCAAAAACAAAAGCCAGACCAGTGACTACAGCACAAACTATCCCAGTGATGTGAATTTTAAAAACACCAGGGAAAGAGCCTGTGAGTAATGACCAAAGGGGTGATGACACCCTAAGAAACCAACTGGCACATAGCCCAGAGGTCACCGTGCAGCACCCGGCACTGCCTACGAGACTGAATGCTCTGCCTTGTCATGCTTGTTTTCCTTCTGCCCAGCAATCCCAGGGATACAGCAAGGAGCAACACAAGTATTTGCTAGGAGGCACTAAGCCAATTCACTCCTATGTTTAGCTGTGGGGTGGCAACTTTGGAGATTCTGTGAGCAGGGTGAGAGGTAGTACAGCTCATACCCTGAAGCTGTGCAGACTGGCAGACTTTACAGTTCCTCTCATCACCGAAAAAGGGAGAAATCTTGGGGAGGAGGGCACAGACAGTCTGCTGGGGGTCCCCACATGCCAGCTCTGCACCTGCACTGGAGGATGGCAGCCACCCCCAATGCAGCACATCTCCCCACAAAGCAAAAAGAGGTGCTGGAAAATTAACATTCAGTGTCACTGTGAAGCCCAGGGGAAAACGGATAGATTACTCACTTTTCTATGGCAGAAACATGCTTTGTCTCAAACTTCCCTTTGGTGAGAAGCTCAGGGGTGATCCTCCCCTCAAAGAGCAGCCCCTCCTTGGCCATCTTCACCAGGATGAGCCTTACCAGCTCCCCCATGTACAGCCCGCTGACCATCTTCTCAAACCTGCAGGAGAGGACAGCAGTCACTCACGAATCCATGGCCAACACCACAAGGCAGAGCCCAGCTGTGCCACTGCAACACCCAGCCCAGCCAGAGGTTTGCCTCACCACAGGCATGGTCAAGCTTTCTTGAACTGCAGAATTCATAACACAGGTGGAAAAGGGAGCACAGAGCAGAAAAGAACAGAAGCAAAGTTCCCAAATAACTGCCTCACTCACAGTTGCTTCCCTGGGTTAAGAGATCCACGGTCGATCTCCCGATCAAACTCAGTCCTGATGTCTTCTAGTGAGCCGTCATCTCCAAAGGCCCCCCACTCCGTGTTAATGCACATCCTGCCCTCGTCCCCTTCCACCAGGTCGATGTGCCGCATCTCCTCCATGTAACAGGCGTTGGTGCCGGTGCCTTTGGGGAAAGCACATCAGAAGGTGCTGACCGAGCCGGCCAGGCAAAGGGAGAAAAGCCACGTGCAGCAGCAGCAGCAGCAGCAGCAGCAGCAGCAATGTGTGTTACCAATGATCAGGCCAACTTCGCAGCGCTGGTCGTCAAAGCCACAGGTCATCATCGTCCCGACGGTGTCGTTCACAACAGCCATGATATCCGCATCGTAGTCCTGAGGGAGCAACAGACATCACTGGGGCCCTGTGGGAAACACTGCTCCTGTTCATCACTGGTTTGCTTTCACAAGGAACAGGAGACAAATACCACTCACTGCTCAACTTCCTAAACATCCCCTGCTCCATCTGCCAGTTCCCTATCCCACATACCCAAGAAGGCAACAAGAGCAGACTGATGCACCAGGCAAACAGTAAAACAGCACTAGCATCATTCTAGACAGCAGAGACCTGCTCTCACATCAGCACCCTTAGGCAGGAAAGAAAAGGGCTATACATGAAGGAGGAGGAACTCTGCATGGAGTGATTTGAAGCAGTTGCTTGAGGAGCCAGTCTGGAAAATATTTCTCCTAGGATTCACTTAAACCAGGAGTTTTATTTCAAGTGAAGATTTTAATACAGAAATAATGCGATTAAATAAGTTAACCACATGACATGCACCCATTGCTTTCCAGATTCCTCAGTGTGTGATTCCACCAACTATAATGATAGTAACTGACTACAGTAAGGTTGTTTGGTGACAGCAAAACTCAGGTGTGCTTAAGAGTTCATGACTGCCCAAAGAAAGCAAATACTCTCAGCTCCTGATGAATATAGATGTTGAGTAATCAACATATCACCTGGCTGCAAGCATTATGCAAACCCAAATTCATGCTATCTCACGCTCAGTGCCTTCTTATTTGTTTAAATCAGCAACCCGGTCACCTTCACTCTCTATGAAGTCAGCAGTGAGAAACTGCAGGGAACAACACAGTTCACTGAGCCTGAAATCCCGCTTCCCTCTGCTCCTGTTCTGCTCCCAGGCACAGCAGGTGCACAACTGAGCTGAGCCCAGTACGTGAGACAAAGTTTCTCAGGAATGGGATGCATTGGTATCACTGAAAAGCCACTGCACTTTCTCAGTTTTTGGAGACTGATAGGTTTGCTGAAGGTTGCCAGCGAAAAGACATGTCATAACAACTCAGACCTGTGCTGTGAGGAAAATCACAGCTTCCACACAACAACTCTGACGTCACTTCATTTTTCCAGCAAACGGCAAAACCACACCTTTTCATGCAGGAAAGCAGAGCTCCACCATCACTCAGACCACGCACCCAAGTGAGTGACATGAGTGGTGGTCCCTGACAAAGCTGAGATCCAGTTAAAAAGAAATTAAGTACAATTTACCCCACGTTTCTTGATGGCCTTGTTAAGCAGCCTCACAACATCTGCTCCCTCCACTCCACTTGCTTTGAAGCGCTTCGTCCAGGTTATCAGAATACCCTGATAAAACAAGACAGCAACATTCAACATAATACAATAATAAGACACACACTGATTACTTTTTTTCCTTCAAAACAAGATTTGATACTGCAAATGAATCTTCATGTCTCTTTTCTTATATGGCCTAACAACCCAACGTGAGACAACTGGTGGTCTTTGAGTCTAGTCACAGTTTGCTGAAAGATGGAAAACTGTTTTCCCCTCCCATGCTAGAAAGTGGTGTGTCTGCATTTTGTATTTTCAGCCTACTCTTCTCCCTGTTACTCCTCGACAGTTTTTCTTGGAAAACCATTTAATCCTTTTGGACCATGGAAATAGACTGCTTTCAGAAAAAGCTGACTGTGCGGGACCGACCACAGAGCAGGGATGTGCTGTTGGTATGTCCAGGACTCAGGGCAGTGGGGATCAGGCTACTGCACAGCTCCTGCCCGGCTTGTTTAACTGTGGGATCACGTTTATGGGCTGAGGCAAATGGAAATACTGGAAATGTAGCAATGTGTGTCCCCAGTTTACAGCACAGATCAAAAAGGAAATCCTGGCATTGAATTCTTTGTCTGCAAACTGTCATGAAGAGCCTGCAAATCCCCCAAGGTAAGGACTTTTGCTATTTACATAATGACTGGTTGAATCAGAGCATTCAGTATACAAGCAAATAGTAATAAAAGAAAGAAAAGAGCATTGACAGTAGTCAACAGGAAAGACAACTCAAACCAGCTCAGCCTTCCATACCCACAATATTCACATCTGTCACAACAGAAGCCCAGGAAGCTAAAAACCAGAAAAGCTGAAGCCTGTAGGCACAAGCAGCCATTGCCCAGGTGTATGTTTGCCCATATCTCAGCTTAAAAATCAAATTTGCCCTCCAAACTGGGATAGCTACAGGAGACAGAGGGTCGGGGCAGCTCTTTACAGACCAGGAGGTATTCTCCTACCACTAGACCACAAACTCAGGTTATTAAAGTTTTGTCACTATGCTGCCCTCATTTAGAAACCTCATTTGACATCATTTAGAAACCCAGCAAAGCCCTGTTCTGCTGTGCAGGGAAACCACAGGCAAAGCCCTCTCTGCTGGCACAGCTTTAACAGGCTAAAGGGCACCTTGTTCCACATAACTTTTATAAGAAACTGGTCAAACCACACTGGCAACGAGCAGCTCCTCTCAGCTGTCTGTGACACTGTGCTGGAAGGAGTTTTTGCTCTACCAGCAAGGCCTTGGCAGCAGGAAGGAGCCCTTGGAGTGCAGCAGGGTTGAGTGGGACCCAACCATGCAGTGTCCACCTTGTCACCCGTGGAGAAACTACGGACCACCCTGCCTCCTTCTGCCCACCAAGCACAATGAAACAGCACCCAGGCAAGCACAGCCTCACAGAAGCAGCAACTCAGGAACAAAGCTGGCCCACAGAATCCAGAAAAATGTATTTTTCGAACAGCCAAAACATCACAAAAACTCTCAGAAAGAGAGGTGAGGGGTTTTGTTGGATTTGTTTGTTTGTTTTTAATTAAGAGACACCCTCCCTTGTCTCTTACTACCCCCACTGCACTCTGCCCCTGCACCCCACATGCTGCCTGCCTGCCCCTGCCCCACACAAGCATCATTCCATCCCAGGCGGCTTCAGCAAACCAGCCCACAAACAAGTGCCTTCCATCGTGCAGCTGAACAAACCTCCCAAGGGCAACTCAACTCCACAGCCACACCCCCAGTACGGCTGGTCAGGAGCCTGAGCCTTACCATGCACCATGGCCAGACAGGAGAGCTGCACCAAGGTCAGCTCATCTCTCCTGATCCAAGCAGGGAAAGGCAGTTCCCTGTTGTGAGACCCTGAGGTAGTCAGCACCCTTGGGCTCAGCTCTCAGCACCGCTCAACAAGTATGAAATGTAATAAAAATCGTGCCTCACCTGGCCCTCAGCACCAGCATCTGGGGGGCTGTTGCACCAGGCTAACCTAGAGACCTGCAAGCTGGAAAAGCAGGTCGGGCTTTAACAGGGCAACCTCTGTGTTTGGTGAAGGTTTAACTTTCCTGCACTCACTTGCTACTCTGTTGCCATGGCAATGCTGTGCCAGGAGGCTGCTGAGTCACTTGTGATACAGTGAGCAAAAGTAGGAAAATCCCACAGCATCCTTGCGGTGGGGATCCAGTCAGTCGCTTCACAAGGCGGTTCATTCCCACCCTTTTTAAAGCAGGCTGGCCCCAGGCGACCTGCCCGATTGCCCTCAGTGCACCCAGCCTGTGACATGGCTCATGCTCCGGAGGGACACCTGGATCCGGATCCGTGGGTACACTTGTGAGGGTCAGCAAAACCTGAGCAAACCCTGCTGGGCTGGGTCCCTCCCAGTCACACCCCACGGAGAGGTGAAAAAGGCTGCACAGGAGGCAGGAAAAACCGCCACCGTGTTTATGGGGTAACGCTGAGCTCATCCAGGGACAGCACAAAACATCAGATGCCTCTTCCTCATGTTACCTAGCTGTTTCAAGTAGAAGCATAAACACAAACACAGTCTGCCAGTGAAATATAACACTCATTTATCCCCAAAATGAGCCCTGTCTGGGATGCTGCTTTCATCGCAGTGTTTTAATAACACAGCAGCTCTTCTACATATTAAGAGAATTGTGAAATCTTCTTACCTCATCTAGCTTGGACTGTCGACAGGGGAAAGAAAACGTAAACCCGACTGGCAATTTCTTGTCTTTGATCTGTTGTTTCTCCATGAAGTCTCCCAGGCACTCAGCAACGTGATCAAAAAGCTATAAGAAAGGTATAAAACCACCATGATTAGATATACAGCTTCAGAGAGAAAATGTTTCAAGTTCCATAATGAAAACTGCACGGGGTGAGGGGAAAGGGGAAAATAGCTGCTGCTCCAGGCTTTAAAAGATATATAAATGGCATAGCTATGAAAATACTCTCAGGCAGTGCACATTAACATTGTAATAATTAATAAACTATAAAATACATTGTCCTTTTACACACCTAATTCTGCAGGCATCTATTACACCCACATAAGAACACTTCTCATGAAACAAGGGGTTCTTGGCTCTCAAGCCTGCTGCAACCCTTCCACTTAATATTTGATGAGATCAAAAATGTTCTTTTAACCTTTCGACAACAGGAAGGAGAATCTCAAAAGAACACTTGGGATCCAGACCCACGGGAGGTTAAGCACTTTTATAATGATGCAGAGAAGATAACATCTGCTTCACTCAAGCATTGCTGAGACCAGAGAACCCAGCACTCTGCAGGAACCACCCAAAAGAACATCCTCTCTCAAGTCTATTCCTAAAGCACACAACAAACAAACAAAAAGAACACCCAAGGGATTCGTCTAAATATTTTACATGCTCTGAGAAACAACCCAAAATGGGGACATTTTCTGCATTTTTCGAACTGCTGAACTATGCAGGCAGCCTGCACCGGGCTTGTGGGTACCAATTCCCACCCAGTGCCTTGATGGCACCTGTGACCACTGCATGATGTGTCCCTGCCAGCCAGGTCTGGAACCAGTTGGGCACAAAGGCCTCTCACACCAAGCCTTTTGGAAAGCCCCTCAACACTCAAAGCTGAAATCAAGTCCAAGCAATTGAAGCAACAAACATACACATTTGTATTTACCAGTACCAGAAAGCCAGACATGCCTTCAACTGACCCATACCACAAATGGATGGTAAACTATTAACAAGTCGCTGCCTGCCCCAGGAGATAACTGGGCTTCACATTTTAACTCCCTGGAAAAACAAACAAACAAACAAACAAACAAACAAAACCCCCCAACCCTATCTGCAGCAGCATTGGTGGGACAAGACCAGGTAAACTGCCCAGGAGACTGGGGCTAACTTGGAAGGAGTACAAAAAGCCATCTGTTGTTGTTCCAATTAGCCCACACGGCCTTATTAAGAACAATTTAGAATCTTGGAGAGGTGGGAATGCACTATAGACAGGCTGCAGCAATTACAAATGATGAATAGGAATATTTTGCCCTTCGAGGCAGGTCAAGAATCGGTGTGTGTAATGTTACAATTAAACTGAACACCTTAAACCCATTCTTTAATTGAGGTCAGATTTGATTAAGCAGAAGAACAGTAGTTTCCCAGAGAGAATGTTGCCATTCACTGTCCTGGGCAAATCAAAGACATTTTGCTGAGCCCACGCAGTGAAACAACATGGGAAAGAATGTACACTGCTGTACTTCTGGAAGACTACTTTCAGCTATTCAGATTAATGAGAGAGGAAGAGGAGTTATGAAAAGAACTATAGTTAAGTAACAAAATATGAGAACTTCTCCAGGAGGAACACAGAAAGAGCTGGAGTGTGTGTTTTGATTATGCTTTTCATCTGAAAGTATCTTGCTGAATACTCAATACTACTGAACTTTCAGCTGCTTCCAGGATTACAAACAAAAGCCAGGGGCCAATGTCAAACCCCTGGGGAGTTCAGAGAGCAGGAAGCAGAAACGTTGACTATGTACGTTGCTACAAAAATCCCTCTCATGCAACGAACCACAACTGCACAGAGAAGAGATAAGTCCAAAGGCAAAAAATCCCTGGGCGTTCCCCATGGACTCCAAAGAGTCCGTGCACCTGCTGTGTTTGCCCAGGCAGCCCTGGCAGGACCTGCTGAGGCTGAGCTCTGAGCTGGCAGTGCTCTGGGAGTCGCTCGGGTTCTGGGTTGGCAGCGGGCACACGAGCGTAACGCGGGCAGGAGGTGCAGTTAAATATCAGCCACAACCTGGGCACCGCAGGAGCTGTGTCTGCTCAGTGAGGCACAGCCTGGCTGGGCTACTGTTCTTCACACAGCACAGAGGGAAGGCACCACCCAAAAGCAGAAAACAGACAGGCACTTATTCATTTTGTACCATGGATGTTCGTAAGACTTTCCCTAAGGAGACTCAAAGAAGTGTCTGTATGTGCCCGTGCCCACGCTAACATCCAAACCTTCCCAGTGCCAAAGGACTCTGACAGAAATCTGAGGGAACATTACAATGTTCCTGTGGATTTCACTAAAGCAGGGCAGGTGGACTGAGATAAAATCCAAATCCCCATTCACCTACAGGTGTGTGGTAGGGGACAGTGCAAGCCAAGTATTTTATCAAATGTCCGAGACGGACAGAGCGAATGCCGCAGCCAAGAGGGAAGGACCAGTCTAATTTCACACATTTATAGAATTGAAGCAATACAACCATGAGATGCTGAGCAATAGATCAGGCTTCATTAATTCCTCTGGCCATGAAGTTGCCTGCTCAGGCTGGGCTCCAAGAGGGCTCCACAAGGACACATTTAGCTGGCAGACAGGAGATTTTGGCAAGCAACTGAAGATCCGAACTCAGGCTCAAGCTCCCAAATGGGGATGTTTTAAGGAGCAAGGAAACCACAGTTTCAGATCAGAACAGCCACAAATCCATAACCTATCACCAGTGGCAGTAGAACACAAAAAGCAAAGGCAAAATCAAGCCTCAGGTACGCTCCTCTTTGCTGAGCTGACATAGGAGACAGGTTTCTTACAAATTTTACACCTGTTATTTCACCACTGAAATCAATGAGAGTTTTGCCCTTGATTTTGACAAGGAATAGACTCTGATTGGCAAAGCTGTCAGCCCATGCCTAACAGATGGGGGAAAAAAAAGAGGTTTGAATGCCATGAAGTAGAAAATATCAAAATGAACCATGCTAGTGAGCCATGAAGCCATAAATCACAATCCTGCAATAAGCTGATTATGTACTAAGCTTTAAGAGTATAACTCACCCAAGTTAATGACACAGCTTGCTGGAAATCATTAGTAGCCTACCCCAGACAGGCAGTTCAGTCCAAGTATTCCACAAACCTGGCTCAGAGGTTTCAGGAAACCTCCACCATATCCATGAGTCAGAAGCAACAAACCATCACCTGTCTGTGCCTCCTGGGCATGCCCCATGCTGCCCTGTGAAGTCACACAGCAAGCACTGGATATTGTCATGGGACAACTTCAAACCTGGTTGTAATTCTGATGATGCTTCCAGTTCTTCTTCTTCTGGTTCTCAAATACCAGGAGTGACTGTGCCCACGGGGTCAGTGGAAGCCTTGCTTGCCTCTCTTTCAGCTTAAAAGCCATGACAAAGCCTATCAGCCTGAGCTCCACACTGCTGCTTCCCGACAGCCAAATGGTCTTTAGGTATTTAAAAATTAAAACACAAGCATGACACAGCCATGGAAAGAAAGCAGACCTGATGTCTCCTTTCTTGGCTTCTCCTGATCACCCTTATCATGTCTCCAACAAGTCTCCCCACACCCATCCATGGACACACAGTCCCCTGGCTCCCAACCTGCCCCCAAGCAGCCCACCCAACTTCCCCCCCTCCACCAGCACCAGGCAGCTCAGCTCAGCTCCCCTCCAAAACCACTCTGTGGGAAAGCCACTGCATGACCTCTTGGCCCAGAAATAAAGCAGTAAGGTAGGAAAAGTCTTTACAAGAAGGTTATTTTACTGCTGTGGTTCAGATATCACAGTAATGCTGTCACCAGTTCTACTGACAGGCCATGATTGCCACCTTACACTCACTACTGCATAAGAATGCAGCAGGTACATACATTAAGGGTATTGAGGTGACTACAGAAAATATATTAAAGGTAGAAATGCTGTTCCCAGAATTTTTCTTTTTCTCCTCCTTTGTTTATTCTTCTGAAACAAGCTTTAAGTTACCTGCAGGTCTCATACTCCTAAGCAGCACCTCATTCTAGTAAAAAGTGTAAAAACCTTGCTGCTTCCAACAATGAAAATTATTTGTTTTGCCTTATGCTGACATGGAGACAAATCTGTCAGTAAAATATTCATTGTAATCCACTTCCTGATCATAAAAAGAAAATAAATTCCTCCAAAGAACCCAGTTTGAAATCCAAGTGAATGGATCCAAACATTTTCTACTCTTGGAACAGGGGAAAATTAAAAAAAAAAAAAAAAAAAAAAAAAACAACCAAAAAACTTTCAATTATTCAGCAAAACTGAAGTTGAAGCTGTGCCAAAACATTCTATGAGCTTCCTGTAATTTTTCTAACGTACTTGTACTTTTCATGAGTGCTGAGTTGCTCAGACTGCCAGCACAGATATTTGGCTGTCATGGGGATTTCTATCCCTCACTGAACACTACAATTGCAGGGCTGGTCATGCTCATTGCTTACAAAGACTAAGTTGTTTTCCTGCTCTCCATTCGTGCTCATGGAAAGTAACTTTACTATAAAAGCCAGAATTTTTATTTCCTGGTCATTTTTTCCCTAACTCATCCAAAAGTCTCCCACAGGATGACAGCAGGTCTGCAGCAGCCATGCATGCTCTGTCACACTAAACACTGCTTATTTATGTTCAGTACCAACACAGAAGTCGAGTCCATGCACGCTACAGGTGCAACTGTTAAGATGCTAAGGTCATTCCTGGGGGGTTTTCCTAAAATCTAAGTAGCTAATCTTTCCAGACACCTCCGAGGGAAGAGGAGCTTACCCGTGTCCCGCTGCCGTGCATGATATCTTCAGGGGTGTTATAAATTTCACTTTCCATCTGCACCGTCTGCTTCTTTTCATGCGATACCTTCACCCGCAGAATTCGGAAATAAGAACCACCAAGGTCCAGTGCAATGAAATCTCCTTTCTCTATGTGGAAAACAAGATACAGGTGATTAAAAACCGTATGCAGCACAAATCTGGAAAGTTAAGTGCAACACAGAAGCGAAAGTCCAGTGCCTACAGCAAGGAAGTTCTACCCACAGGGCATCCATGCGAACATCAACCTGATTCCCTGCAATTTAACGTGAAGTCGGTGGAATGGCAAAACCAACCACCACAGGCAACTGCAATGAGGGTTTATCCAAAAACATTGGACTAACAGTGGACAGTGTGTATCCAGATCTCATGATGAAGCTGCCAGATCAAAGATCTCAGGAGAAAGGCAAAAAAGACAGTAAAATGAAGGGATGCCAGACCACTGATGAGCAGCCTTTTGCTGTGTCATTTTGGCAAATAACCCTGAATAGTGGCTGGATTGTGCTTACTCCAAAATCAACAAATTATACACAGATGTAATTAAAGTAGGAACCACTTACTTTGCACCCAGAAAAGCTGAGATTCACTGCAAACTGCAGTCAGATAACACAAGTCAGAGAAATGACAGCCTGAAAAAACAGCCCTGTACTGCTGCAGGAGTTATTCACAAGTTGTGATGCCTTGCCCAGAGCTCCTAAATACCTCCCCAGGAGCCAGGGAAATACTTAGAATACCTCCATCTCCCTCTGTGGTGGAGAAGTCTGAAGGCAAATCCACTACCCTCCAACCTCCACAGACTTCAGGGTGCAGTTCAGGCCTGGCTATCTGAGGAATGACACTTTCAGCACCCCCGGGAGAGCAAGGCAAATACATCTGACTAAACAACTCACCTTATCAATGTTATCTCACCTTATCAATGAGAGAGCAAAGGCAGTGATCGTTAAAGTCCTCGAAAAGATAATATTTACGGAGGCAGAGTGCACAGTTTATCCCCCAGGAGTGTGTGCCCAGGCTGCAGGGAATCCCCAGGGCTCTCTGCAGGCATTCCTGTCTGTGCACGGCATCCACCAAAGGCACACAGAGTTTTCTCATCCTACTTCCTCGTCAGCTGTGACTTTAGGAAGGCCACTCCTAACACTTTTTCCACTTCTACCTAAATTCAACGTGGAAAGACCTTTGGCAGCTGGGAAGGCAGTTTGGACGTGTTACCTCGAACAAACTCCACAAGGATTTCCAGAGCCAGACCTGCCTCTGAGATTACTCTGTCTAATCTCAGATCAAAACTCCTGAAGTCTGGCTTAGTGAGCTGTTCCTCTTCCTCATTGCTCCATGCACCTCTGGGAGCCTGGTCCCGCTCAGCAAAGCTGATGAGCTGGACAAGGTGTGCCTCAGGGCAGGATCTTTAACAGAAACAGACCAAGAGAGGCAAAAGCACTGCAAATGCCCTTAAGGTTTTCTAAGGATGCAATACAGAAACAAAACACTGTCACATGAGAAACCACAAAGAACAATAAGCTCCGTACAGAAAAATGTAGCAAAATGACAGTGGGAGCCCCCGACCTCTAATAATCCTCCCAGTTTTACTGTGCTGCAATGCAACTTCTTCTTCTTCTTGCTGTTTAAGACACAGGCAAACTCAGTTTGCCAAAACACAGATCTTGCAGTGCTTCCCTACCTGTTCCTGAATAGTGTGGCTTTAAACATCATGTTTTTTACCAGTACAAATGTCATTTAAAACGTGAACATACCCAAACACATCCAAAAGGAGATGCAGTTCCCTTTACTGGGCTCAGCATAACAAATTCAGCAACTCATAACCCCTTCACCACAGCAAGTCCACCAGTCAAACATTGACCACAAGTGTCTCATTAAGCCAAATACTCATAAGATAAAGCTTATTTGGGTATCATCTGTTGAGTGCAAGCCACTACCTCCACTAATGAGAAAATCAACAGTGGAGCAGATGGCCCTTTTTCAAGCCTAAACGCACATCAGTACATACCTCAAACAAATACTGCACTTCAGAAATATCTCCCCTGTAAAAAAATTAATGGGTTAGCATGCTTGATTTCCAGCACCATCAAGCTCATTGCAAGGTAAAATATATTAAGAATTATCCTTGTCACTCAAAAACATCTCTGAACTAGATGTAAAGCTTTTTTTATTGCAAAGTAGTGGTTTTCTTTTAGTGTATTTCAGGAATTAAGCCCAAGTAGCAGCATTTAATCTGTGCTTTGCAACACCTAGGTGCAATCAAACCTGCCATGAATTTATTTAGGAAGAGCCTCTGAGAGCATTTTGAATTAGCTTAAGGTACCATTCTGGGCACTCTGCACAAAAAAACCTTGTGGCTTTTGTAAACAAAACCAAGTCTGAATGAAGCAAAAAAACCCCTGCTAACACCAACACCTCCAGGGTCTCCAGAATTATTGCTCACAAACTCCTTGTTAGAAAAGTACACAAGCAAAGATCTGAAACCAAACAACAGTATTTTTTTGAATAGTCAGCTCCCATAATAATAATTGGACTCAGAGGAAAGAGCTTACAAGGCAGTAATGAGAGACAGGCCAGAGAAAAGGGCAGGCTTTCAGCCTCTGGCTTTCATGGAGGGACAGCTGAAGGCACAAATTGCCATCTTTGGGCACAGCAACACGGTCACATCCGTGAGGGCCCCCCAGAACCTTCTGGAGGAAGAGGGCAGGGGGCTCCATGTCTGCCCTGGCTGCACCCATGCGGTGGCTGAGCCAGGCGTGACAGGCACAAGCGGGAGAGTCAGGGAAAGAAACGCCACACCCACCCACAGCAAATATTGCTCATACCTGGGCTTGGAATATGCCCTGCCAGGGAAAGAAGGGAATGGTTGTGCCTGCATCACTAACAGCTATCCAAAGATACCCTCGCTGCCCGCATGTATGGATCACTGTTGTGTTCTACAGAAATTGCCTGGCCAAAGCCCTGCCTTGCCATAATCCCTGCTGCAAAGCCCTGCCCACAGCCTGCCCATCCTGGAGAGGCTGGCAGGAGCCAAGTGGGCACAGGATCAAGAACTGAGCACCCTGTACACAACACACAAGGCTGCTTTTTTAAGTAGGTGTGTCATACGTGATCTGAAATTAATGTCTTGGCATACACACATGCCCATGCTCAGCCAGGGCTACCCACTGCTCTGCCTTGTCCTCAGTCCCAGCAACATTCAGCAATCTCTCAAACCTCTCCTGGCCAGGTGCACATCCCCTTTTTCCTGTGCCATATGGCATCTCAAAGTCTTCCCAGTTCGTACCACAGAACAATTCACAGAATTATCTGACGTGCCACCAGCAGCTCAGACCTGGTGCCCTGCAATGGCTGATGGAGCAGGATAGGGGGACAGGTCACTGCTCAGTTAAACTCAAACACACACGGAGGAAAACACAGGGATTTCTGAGCCAGTTAAATTGCTGGGATTCCATGCAAAAGTCCTCAAGTCACCTCACCTCACCTGCAAATCCTCAGTGCAACCCCTGCCCGTGACCCAGCTGTACGTGGCAGCTTTTGGCTTTCTCGGCAGGCTGCAAATTTCAACACAGTATTTCAACATAACAGCCAGCAATGCTGAATTAAGGGGAACACAGCATTCATATTCATTCTCCCTTTGCTTTTTTTTTTTAGACAGAGACTCAATTCTCAACTAAAATGCTTAAGGTGGCAGAAAGCAACAGCAAAGCAGAACTATCAAAGATTTCCACCTGCCAGACAGCAGCAAGAAGTTACGCAAAGCACCAGGTCTCATGTTCTTTCACCAATAAATTCTTGATTTTAACTTAAAAAAAAAGAAGAAGGCCTCAAAACAGATAACTCTGTTATGCAGTTCTTGCAACCTTGCGATTTCTGCACACAGGGACATAATCTGTGGTAGGCACCAAACTAGTTAACCTCCTCACACTAAGTGAGAAGGAAACCCAGTGTCACTACTAAATAATAAACACTATTATATAATGTTTATAAATATATTTATGTACTCTACATATGGTATTTATTTTTTACAGACATCAAGTAATTTAGAAGTAACAACAATAATTAATAGAGGTAATCTTGGTCTCAAATACCAACACAACATCTTTCTGGTTTCTGATAGCTCTTTGTGCCACTTTTATCAGTACAGTGAGCACAGAAAAACCAAGTCCTACATCTGGATGGAAAAAGCTCAGTGCACCAGAGCAGCAGCTTTGGAGCCACATGCTGCAACCTCCTTGAGTTCTGTGACTTTTCCCCCAAGACAGTCTGCAAGGGACAGCTACAAAATGCAAAATGAATGCCAGGAAACTCAAATTCAGACTTCCACTGGGGAAAAAATAAGGAGAAGGAGATGTTGAGTGAAGCAGCAAATGACTAAAAGCCACTGTATTTGTTAAGATCTAGATGACACCGGTGTAAACTGCAGAAATCAAAAATCATCCAATCTGAAGTATTGATTGTTGGCAGACAAGTCTCAGAGTACATGTATTGACTGATAGTGAACTGTTTGCTAGGAAGGCCTCTTCCATTGGCATCAAAATGGCTTTGACACAGGAATCACTAAATCTTCCAGCATCTGCGGGAACAGACCTGCACACAGAGGGGGAGCTGCCTTCAAAATGCTGCCTGGGCTTGCCAGGAAGCAAATCCCTCTTGTTCTTGGTGGCAACTGGTGTATTTCTAACAGGTTTCCATGAAGCACATCATGTTTAACACGGAAAACAAACACTAAGCTTCTTACCTGAACCATCAGGAATGGACCTGACAAACGTGGGAAGCATCTTGACTGCAGCCGTGGGGTTAAAATCCCTGGAGAGGCCGTTCTTCATCTCCCTCCTGAAGCGAGCCATGACATCCAGCAGTGTTTCGTCGGAGAGCCGCATGGCGTAGAGGTATTTATCAATCTGGGGACAAACACACACCGCCACGGAGTGGAAGACTGCCCTGAGGCACCCAGGTGGGGCTACACCTCTCCCTAATTGCAAGGAGAGTGTATAGCCCCAGCTCACCCTCAGGGCTCTGGCCAAGTTCACAACACAGCCACACGCTTTGTGCCTTGTCTTTTGACTCCAAGTCATGGAAAACGGGAAAGCTGCACACGAGCTGAAGCCCACCCCATCCTACTGCTACCCAAGGCACAACCCAGTCCCACACCACTGCCTCCTCTTTTCCACTCAAAATGGTCTGCCCACAGCCTCTCGCTACCTCCAGCCCTTGCTCCACTTCTCAGCTCTCCTGACTATCCACGAGCTGAGCTAAAAATCCCTCTTTTGGCACCCTGTCCCAGCCGGGGTGATGCGGATGTCAGAGGTGCTTTGTATTTAAAGCCTTACATTGGGAAGGACTTGCCACACCAGTTTCAGGGCTACATCCCAGGCTGAGAAATTATTTCAGTGCAGCAGACCAAAGCTATCACAGCCAGAGGGTCAGGAGAGGCAGAATTTGTCTGTGGGCAGGTGGCATCTTCCTCCATCAAATTAAAAGTCGTTGATTTTTCCCTTGTGGCTTCCAATGACAGGAACTTTCTTTACCTCCCTGGAAAAAGGAGGCGGTTCTAGTTTTCCAACAGTATTGCTTTCCATAGTATTACAACCACCTTCACCGTCAGGAAGACAGAGATACTTTGATGCCCAAAAAATACAACTTGTCCTTGGGGGGTCTTGCCAAACACACCTCCCACCCCTTTCATCTCAGCTGCCAGTCTATTCTCGCCTTGTTTCTTTACTTGCCTTGGAAATTTGGTTCTGTAGATGGCTCAGACTGAAGCCACACCTTCAGGATCACTTTTGCTTTCAGCTTAGCAGGACCAAGAAAATAAAACCCTGCCCCTGTTTTCTGTCCTCAGCAAAACTGGAAAAGCCACCTCGTTTTAAACCCCAGGCCAGCTCTGTGCCAAGGGTGCTCTGGAAGCCTCGAGAGCAACTCATCTCCAAGCTGGCACTATGTCTTACAAGACCAAGGCCACAGTAAAACACCCCATGCAACACATACATATGCAAGTGCTCCATATTCCAGGGCCTTTGAGACGAGAAGTGATGATCAATGCCATTCACAAAAGAAATGCAATCAAAATGTAATTAAACTCTAAACTGACCATAAAACCAGTGCTGATTAATGGCTCGTGTAGAAAGTCCACCTGCCACGTGTAGTCAAGGCCTGTACCAAAGATAGTGTATCTCCCTGATCCAGGCACCCTCAGTGACCCAGCAGTTACGTACACAGCCAGGGAGGAAGGCATGGATGGTGCTGCTGGGCACAGCTACCCAGCCTGATCCCAAACCACAGGGCTGGTGCCAGGCAGGCCTGGGCCACAGGGGACACAGCCAGAGGCTGCACAAGCTATGAAGTTTTCCATGTCATTGATTGCAGAGGAAGAGCAGAAGGGGCTGTAACAGTGCAACAATACCATGATTGATAACACCACGACGAAATGAGACCGTGCATTTTCCCCACGAAGCGGTGACGTGACAGTGCAGGCGTACAGCTGAATGGCAGAAGAGCTGAGCTCAGGTTGTCTGCAACACAGGCCAAATGCAAGACCCTAGGGTAGCACCCCCACATCCCAGCTGTGTCCTGTGCCGCCCTGATGGGCTGACAGCCCCTTCACAGTGACAACCACAGCCAGTCACCAGTGTCATTTCACTCCAAGAATAAATTCCTGGATGGGATGTGCCCTTTCTACAGCCCCAAATGCTGTGGGGATGGATGCAGAGGCTGCTGTCAGGCTGAGTAGGAAAGTCTCTCCTCTGTGGCAAACCCTGACATGCTTTTTTTTAGCAGAGTGTGTAAAGCCATGATGTCAGAGGATGAGGCTATTTCTTTTTAAAGGAGGGGGGAACCAACTCTTTTTCAGGCTGAGCTTTCAGCAGCCCACGCTGCCGTTCAGAGGGGTGATCCCCCAAATCTTCCAGTGAAAGCTACACTAACACATCATTCACACAATCAGACCTCACCGTGCAATTAATACACCCCTCTACAAAGCCCCACTGCTGCAATCCTCCTCCCAGAAACAGGAAGGAAGGATTCCACCCCCCACCGAAAGTCCTGTTGTGAACACAGGTTTTGGCGTTTGCACAGTCAGGACTGACAGACCCATTCTCCCCACCTCTGCCCCTGTGCTGCCCTCAGCAGGGAGGGAAAATGGGAGGGAGGGCTCTTTTTGCTCCCGTGGAAGCCCAGTGAGCGTGTCAGCGACCTTGTGTAATTGGGCTGGACCCTCCTGCACTCGGGAGCATCGCGTAGCACCAAGGCCATCCATCTCCACCACTGAGACCCACAGGGAGGAAGGCAGGGGACACGGAGCCTCTGCTTGGAAAAAATCACTCCTGTGTGTTACAGCTTCCAAAACAAAACAAAAAAAAAGGCAGGGGGGTTTTTTTCTCCCAGGCAGGAAAAGGGTTAGTCATTCCAGCAGTGTGGCGGCAAGGGAATAAGCGCTGCTCTCCTGCGCTGGCAGTACATGCTCCTGTTTTCCCTCCGAGGGAGAACTCCCAGCAAATAGCCATAAATAACTTGGGGCAGGGGGAGCTGGAGGCTGGATTACGGGATGGAGATTTAATAACTCCCAGCTCTGTCTGCAATAAAAGCCGATCAGAGAGCAAATCTCAGCCTGATCCACAGGGAAGCTGTGGAGAGGCTGGCACGGACAGACGGGAGCTGCTGGCAGCACCCAGACACACCCACAGTCCCACTGAGGCTCCCATGGATGGGAGTCAGGTGCCAGCCCTTCCCAGGGGATGGCAAAGGGCAGGAACAATTTCAGGCAGGCAGTTGTGTGGGCAAGGAGCAGAAAACACTCCTTTATTTAGCTGCCACCTCAGAGACACCCCCCCAAGAAGGGCACCTTCCCAAAGTGCCATATAGGAGTACTCCAGAGTGCTATAGGAGTCCTCCAAGAGCTCTATCACTTCTTTTTTTTTCCTCATTTGCTTAAAAAAAAAAAAAAAGACAACCAGCCAGACAGAATCTATGAGTAATTTTTTAAAAACAGGATTTCATAATCTGAACCACATTCACGTAATTTTTCCTAGTCACATAGGAAAGACACTCTTTGTAATTGGGGAAAAGAAGTTTCTGAAAATCCAGGCATTTCAGCAGTTGTGAATAATTATAAGTGCATAATGAAACAGGCAGCACTTAACGAAACAGGCCATTGCTTAACGCCTCATTCCAGGGACAGTGACAACAGTCACTGGTATCCAAGAAGAGAGCAGTCCCACAACAATTTCAGAAATCATTAGCACTTATTTTACTGACATAGCCTTTGCACCAAAACCCTTCACCAATGTAAACATTTTTCTGCACAGCTAATCCTTTCAGCACGAATGAGATTCATCAGGAGCCAAGGCATGTTAAAACAAGTAGTTTAAGACATTCTGAAACTGTTTATGCTTACTTATGATTTATCTGATTGGTTCCTAAAAAGCCTTTATAGGGGCAGGTCACCAATAAGGACTCTTCTTGATGCCAGTTGTTACATTTTACACTCCATTCCATCATGGTTTTTTCAAAGTTAAACAACATTTAAATGTGACTCTTGGATTGCAAGATTTTTTTCTTCTCTCTTCAGGTAAGACAACAAAAACATATTGTTTCCCTGACAGGCAGAAACCCGGCAACACCCAGAGGCTCCCTTTGCTGGGCTCAGCTACTGCAGGTACAAACCTGTTGGAAACAAAGGGTACTCCAAGGCAGTTTTACAAAGCTCTCCTGCACATTGGCCAGGGGCACAGCTCCCAGGGATGCTCCATGACACCCTTGGCCCTGAGGATGGGAGTTGGCCCTTCAGAGAAATCAGGGCCTGGGTTCAGCTTGTGCAAAGTGCCCTGTCACAGTAAAGGTGCTGAGCTCCTGCCACTGTCCCCACAGTGCCACAAACATCCAGGGAACAGACGTTTTCAAAAACATCTGGATAATTTAAGCTGCTTGGAGCAAATCCACACACATCCTTATACAGTACAGGGCATCCCACATTGCCAGCTTGCTGCTGCACAGAGAGGTGACATGCAAGTGCCATTACAGGTGGATTCACTGGAAAATGCCCCCCTGCAGGAGCCACAGGGCTGCAAGCATCCAATGAACAAACCCCTCCTTCAACACTACACAGCCACCCTGCCTATTCCTCCTGCTTGCCATGATTCATCCTGGAAAATACTCTAGGAACTACAAATTTGAAAAAAATTACACTCAAATTTAAGGGGGTGCATAAAAATCCAGCAAAATCCAGCACAGAAACATTAGTTCTTAGATCCAGGGTACCCCAAGGGCCTGGAACCACCAGCCCTATCCATGTCCCTCAGCAGGGCTCCCACCGTGGAAAGGCAGCGTGGAGCACTAGAGCCACACAGGGATGGGAACACAAAAAAAAAAAGCAAGGATGGGAATTCCAAAAAAAAAAAAAAAAAAGAAGAAAACAGGGTCACAAGGGAAAAAGAATGCTCAACCTGGGCTTGCTGGTACTTTTAACCTGTTCACACCCCTCCTGTGACCCAGAGCAGCATCCTGAAGGTGACCTGCCACCTGTGTCACCAAACGCTGAGACGATGGCTGCGATGGACCAGCGAGGCAGAGGAGCTGCCACCATGGCCAGGACACCCAGGGTACAGCGTGGGGAGCAGGGACAATGCCTTGGGTGGTAGCCCTCGGCCCCAGGCACGTACCAGCAAAGTGCTGCCCTTCCGGAAGCAGAGAGGAGAGGGAGGGACCTGAAACGAAGCCATGCAGGCACGTATCCCTCAAAGCGGCACACTGATGGAGCACAGACCTCGGAAGCAACACGCTGAGACAGAGTGAAACCACTTTTGCCCCACGGGGAACCAAGGAGTGGAGCCCACCAGCTCCCAGCAGCTGTGGGGCAGCAGAGCCTCTGGCTGCCACTGACACCCTCCCTACAGAACAGCCAAAGGTGAGCGGCTCGATATCCGTTCCAAAAGCAAACAAACAGGAAAAGACGTCTTACATCCTCCAAAAACAGTAGCCTGCCTTTTTTTTTTTTTTAATTGGGCTTAATTTTTTTATTTCCTTTTCCAGACAAAACCAGATCGATCCATTAGAATGCTTTACAGCTCCCTGGCCAAACCATTTCCCGTGCTGTTAGACAATAGGAGCCCCACGGTGCCAAACCAGCCTGCAATAAATAACCCCCAGAACACCACAGTTTCCCTGTGCTCCCTCCATGCCTTCCCCACAGCCGTTCTACCACTGCTGGGCCGTCGTGCTCCCTTGTGCTTATCTTGGCTTTCTAAATATAACCCACAGAGCGAGACAGAGAAGGCCTTACCCAGGCATGCATGCCTGGCACAGCAGCAGCACTTACAAATCCTGCGGGAAAAGGAACATAATGGGCCTGGGGCACAGGGAGAGCCACGTCCCTGGGGCCAGAAGGTGCAGGACAGTGCAGGCTGAGCAGTCTCCGGCCCTCGCCAGAGCCACTGGGCGGAAAAGCAGAAGACCTAAACCACGGAAGGAGACGTGGAAAATATGGAGCGCTGCCTCGGGTTTTCTCCGAGGGAGGAGTGGGCACGGGTGAGCACATCTGGAGTGGGGCAGGATGGGTCACCCACACACGGGAGCTGAGGTATCCCCTGGCACAGCTGGAAGCCCGAAGGGAGGAGGTGCTCTCCTCCTCCTGGCTGGGGAGGTTCGCAAGCCCCGGGAACAGTACAAATCAGCGCTGCTCATGTTGCCATTGCGGCTTGCCCAAAATATTTTAGGGATGCCTGCAGCCATGCGCCCAGGTGGGTCACGCAGCACGGCCGGAGGAGGTGGCACAGGGGAAGCCTCCGCTTCCTGACGTCAGCCCGGCTCAGGGATGTCTGCAATTATTTTCCCAATTTGTGTCCCCACATCCCTCGCCCCAGGCTCCCCGCTTCCTACAGCTCTGCAATATGCTCAGCCGGGCCCTAACTGCCGTGTTTTTATTTATCCTGTGCTCCGCACCCTTTTCCTTGTGGTAGTGCTCAATTCCAGGGCTGCACCAACCACACAGGAGCAACCACCTAACGCTGAAGGAAAAGAAAAGAAGCCTATGGAAATGCTCCTTTTTAAGCACAAATGACAACCATTTCCTGTAAATTTTGAACCTGCAGTGGCACATAATTCAAAAACTACCTGCTCCTCGCCTGCTGGAGTGCCGATGCCCACAGATGCCCTTGGGAAGAAGGGGAAATACCCTCTCCAGGGATGCTGGTGCCCACCAAAAACCCGAGGAGCCACCATCCTCCGCTCAGTGCCAAAGCCCCCCAGCTCCTGCCTCGCCTTGCTGAGCTCAGTCCTGCGGCCTGAGCCGCCGCTGTGCATCCATCACCCACGCCCCACTCCCATCTCCAGCGGGGATGCTCGGGGCGGAGGGGGCTTAAAACCGGGGTTATCCCCCTTTCTCCCACAGCTGGATGGCTCTGGGAACAAAGCAACAAAACCAACGAGGGGGGAAATTTTAGAAAGTGAAAAAAAAAAAGAAAAAAAAAAGAATGAAAAAAAAAAAAAAAAAAGCGGTGCGGGCGGGGGGCAGCCTTGGGGCGGGGGATGTCCATCTAACCTTTTTGACCTGGTCCTCCTTCAGCTCCGTGAAGTAGTAGGCCAGGAGCTGGGCGGCGATCATCCTGCCGGCTGCACGGCGGCTCCGCGCACGCAGCGATGCGGGGCCGGGGGATGGCCGCGCCGAGCCGAGCCCAGCCGAGCGCCGCCCCTTCCTCCTCCTCCTCCTCCTCCTCCTCCTCCTGCCGCTCCTCGGGGCCGCCCCGGCCCCGCCCGGCGGGACGTGCCGGCGGAGGGCGCGGGGCAGCGTTCCCGGCCTGGAGGAGCAGCAGCAGGGCAGTGCCCTGCCGTACCCCGCAGGGTCTGTGCGGCAGCCGCGGAGACAGCCTGCTGAAGGCTGCCCCGAAAAACACCACACACACACACACACAAAAACCCTCCTTCTTGGTGGCCAAGGGCATCCTGGCCTGTATCAGCAAATAGTGTGGCCGGCAGGACCAGGGCAGTCACTCTCCCCCCGGACTCAGCACTGGTGAGGGGTCACACCTCGAGTGCTGTGTCCATTTCTGGGCCTCTCAATTCAAAAAGGACATGGAGAGGCTGGAGCACAAATCTGATGAGGAGCAGCTGAGGGGGCTGAGCCTGGAGAAAAGGAGGCTCGGGAGTGACCTTATCGCTTTCTACAACCACTGACAGGAGATTGTAGCCCAGGTGGGGTCAGTCTCCCAGGCAACCAGCGACAGGACAAGAGGACATGGCCTTAAGATGCGCCTGGGGAGGTTCAGGTTGGACATCAGGAGGAATTTCTTCACAGAAAGGGTGATCAGACGTTTGAATGGGCTGCCCAGGCAGGTGGTGGAGTCACTGTCCCTGGAGACATTTAAGGAAACACTGGACATGGCACTTAGTGCATGGTTTGGTTGATAGGGTGGTGTTAGGCATAGGTTGGACTCAATGACCTTCTGTCATTCTGTGAAAATACCCTAAACCAAAGACACAAATCTTTGAGAAAATAGGAAAACTTCAGGAATCTCCACTAAGCCCAAGTATCCCCTGCCTGGGTGTGATCCTGCAGCCCTGGACAGACGGCCGAGCTGCTGGAAACCCGTGGGGGGCCCCAGAGTCACTCTGACAGTTGTACTTTCAAGGACCCCACATTCATATTCCATCAGAAATTCCCTATATCAAAGGTGCTCTTGGGCACATGGTGTTGATTCTTGGGGTGTCCTGTGCAGGGCCAGAAGTCAGACTCGATGATCCTTGTGGGTCCCTTCCAACTCAGGATATTCTACGATAATACACTGATGGAGAGGGCCTCTCCTCCCTGCACGTGATGCCTACATTTTTGCCACACTGGAGCACGTTCCTCAGCACCCCGAGGAGGCATCCACCACCAGGAAGGATGTTAGGGCCCACACACACATAAGAGAAGCAACACAACACCCCTCTGAAAGCTGAGGCCAAGTGCAGATGCCAAGTGACACATGTCAGCAGCCCAAGGGGCTCTTGCCTGCCCTGTCCATCCGCAGGGACAGGAACACACACCCATGCATAGGGTGGTGATGCTGGAGGCGTGATTTGCATAGAGATTGTCTACCACAGTCTAAGTGATTAAAAACCTGCTTCTTGAGTTTCCGGCTTCCTTTTCAGTGCTACTTTAATTAAATGGTTTCACTGGCCAAAATCAAGAGCTGCTTTGGCAGACACATCCTCCTTCAGGCTGCCCTAGTCGCTGCAGGCAGGGTGGGCAGGATTTCCTTCTCCGCCTCCAAGCTCGGAGAGATTTTCATCAAGCGTTTCACTGCTCTGCACAGTGTTACTCCTGCTTGTTTGCTTGGCAAGCTAATGAGCAACATTCCCAAGCTCCCTGGCACAAGCAGGCTGCCTGTCTGCGGGCACAGTGGCATCGCCCTGCAACCAGGCACAGCAGGAGTTCACAGGCAGCACAGGAACGTGGGGCTGAGCTGAATCATCCCAGTGTCCAACGTCACCCAATCCCTTACACAGGCTGACCAAGCTCTTGCTCAGATGTAATTCACTGCTCAGTCACGCTCCGCCCCTTCTGCTGGTCAGAAACTATTTTTAATTCTCAGCCAGGCTCGCTCCTGTTTTCAATCCATCTGTCATCTGCTAAACCGTGTCTTTCATCTGAGATCGCTCTCCTCGCTCTTGAGCGTTCACTTTCTATAAACACACTGAAAGTAACCCTACACATCCCCAGCTTTTGCTTCACTAGGTGAGACAGACTTGGTTCTTTTTGGTCTGAACACTGCCTGACACTGCCCACTTCACACAGGTTCTCTGTTAGCGGAGCTGCCTCTACACAAGGTTTACAAACCCTACTATCTATCTGCTCCATCCCAGACACCTAACCACCACCTAAAATACACAATACTCCCCTCAGGTACCTTGCTGCAGGAAGGCTTACGCAATTAAAACAGTTGGACAATCACACAGGTAGACACTTGAGCGGGAGGTGGTTCATGTAAGAAAGTCAAAAGCAGTCAGGGGACGGCTAAACAAGTATTGCAAACAATTGGGTTTGTCTTCAGTTGCTGAGTGTGGCATTCAAGAAAAACGGACTGAGCACCCAAAAAGCCACTAGAGAAAACATAACAGTCCATCCAAGGTGAAACAGCTGCAATATTTAAATATGTGGTATTTTTAAACTCCGTGCAAGGATAAGAGAGCCTGACCAGTTTTGATGCTGTAACCAGTACTGGGATGAACAAGATGGAAGGGCAACTAAAGATCCCTGTGGACACCCCAACCCTTTGCAAGCCCTCTTTGCATTGCCAGGCCAGCAGTGAGCACCCAGGTGTTATTTTGAGGGGCCTAGGGGGAGCTGTGCACAGGCTGCCAGGCAGGAGCAACCAGCTCTCCATCTCGGGCTGCGGGAGTCTCGTACCATTGAGCCCTGGGTTTTCCCTTCTGCTTCACTGGAAGGGATCAATTCAGCAGCCAATTAATTACCGGCACCTCCCCTACTCTGCCAGGCATCCAGCAGGCTGTTTTGAAAGCCACTGTCCTTTAAGACAAATTACTGGAGGCTGAACGTGACACCTGATGACTTGCAGCTATTTTGATTGCGCTTTAATCTTATTGTCCCTATTTAACTGTAAAGCGCTTCAAGTGACTCAAGTAACTCTGTGCATCAGCCCTCCTGGATGTGTTTTGGGGTTTTTTTCCCCCTTTGCCTGTTTCTTCGTTAAGTGTTCACTCTCTATACAAGTCTGCATTCCAATCAGACTCCTATACAATGTGGGGATTTTTTTTTTAAATCATGTCCATCACGTAGTTTTGATGCACACAGCTGCTAGATGCTTTCTATTTTATAAGTAAACAATTAGGTTGTAGTTGTGTTTGTTGGCTTTTTTTAAGTGTCTGGAAAACGACTGATCCCCTTTTCCTCCCCATTACATTTTCTTTCACAGTTCTCAAAAGGAAGTGAAAGAAAGCACCCTCTCTAATAAATAGTAAGTTCCCAGTTTGTGACAGCATCTCTGATTAACAAGGGAATTTTTAGGTAGCCTTTGAAGCTCCCTTTCCAGGGCAGGAAACCACATATCTGCACTAAAGAAATCACTGTTCATTTGTGCTGAACTTAATGCAGAAGTTACGAAGAAAATCTAAAAGCAGCAGAGATATCGATTCGATGAGCAATTCGGCCAAACAAGGTTAAATACGTTATGCAGTTTCACCTTGCCAGGGGGCACAGCAAGCAGGCACTACCACACAGCCAGCCAGGATGCTTTAGCTCATGTTTCCCCTATGAGGAAACAAAATTAGCTAGGAATGCCTTGAGGGCAGCTCACCCCACGCACAGGAAAGGCCACTCCATGTGTGGACAGAGCGGCGCACGCTCTGAAAGGGGGTTTTGTGCTCCTGGTACAGCACACCAAGAGGATGTTTCCAAAAGATGTTTAAGGCACAAGGACTAGCAACGGGTTCTGGCATGGTTTTGGCTTGTTTTGTTGGAGATGCTCCAGGGAGAGGGTGAGCTACTTTTTAACGAAGTCCGGTTAGAAGGATTTTAGCACCATTTGCCACACTGAGCATTTGACGGCCAAACTGCAGGGCTACAGGTTTCAAGAGTTAAATCCCTCCAAAGACACGGCAGGATTTCTGTAAGCTGTGTACTAAGCAATTAAAGATCACAAACAGCCACGTCTAGATTCTAGACTGTGGCCATGGTGAGAGGACAGTGGAGGAGGAAGCAAATCCAGCAAAGGAGGAATGTTGTCTACTGGTTCACATGGGAACAGAGACTCCTGGGGCAGAGGGAGATGCTCTGTGTCTCAACTCCCCATACTTGAGCATCAGGCAGATGTGCTGGCTTTTATTTCTTTAAACTGGTTGCTGTTCTTCAGCATCAGAGGGATGCAGAGACCACGACCCCCACAAACCCAAGAAAACCAGAAAGCAGATAAATACAAGCCCCAAACCCGTGGCTTACAATAAAGCCCCCCTATTTGGAAGGCCTAGATGATAATTTCTTTTTAAACCTCTTAGTGACCGCAAGGTTCATTAAACTGGGGGCAATTATTCCATCTTTAGTTAAATGATACTTCCAAAAGCTATGGGCTGCGTGAGCTACATTGCAAAGGACTTCCCAAATCTGCACATAGGTGGGGAAAAGAGAAAACCGCTCCCTGGAGTCACACCACCACAAAAGTTAACATCTAGCTCCCGTGTTGCACAGCAGAGCTACTCTATGCTACTTTCCAACCCACTGAAGTTTTCTAACACATCCAGCCTGCTGACATCCCCTGGCACTTTGTATGCAAGTCCACTCAATTTGCTCTTCCTTTACACACTGAAAGGGAAACACAAGTGTAATCCATCCAAACTCGGCTCTTTCTTATTTCCCCTCCTGTCCTAGGTATTCACCACAGCACCTTCCCTCTCTCCAGTGCCAGAATTACAACTCATTTTACATCTCTGCATAGGAAAGCAATAACCATCCCAGTTTTCTGACTCAGCTGAGGGGTTCTGCATTAGTTAAACATTTTTTTCCATTGAGGTGAGAGCTGCTGCATCAAGCAAGCACTTTTTGTAGGGCATTAGTAGTAAGTCATTATTGCAGCTCATATACTCATAAAGCAGACCATAAACACACACACATCTACATGCACACAGAAGCAAATCAACAAAATCAGTTTGTAAGGCAATAGAAGGGCATCAGTCTTTGGGTGATGAACCCAATGTCAATGAGTTGCCTTTCTTGACCAGG